ATCAGTCGGTCTTTGACCATGCTCTGTGGACACTGGTTCACTCACAGTTTTGGGGATTTTCTCCCAAAGAGGATATACTGTAATCTCCCTAGCGGAGTTTGTAATGTAAATGAGACTAGAGAACATATACAGACATCTCTCTCTCTCTCTCTCTCTCTCACACACACACACACACACACACACACACACACACACACACACACACAGTAACTTTGGGTAAGCAAACTCTGGAAAACATCCAGCTCAATTGTCATGACCTATTAAGAGTATCGCCCAGGGGCGCGTGGGTGGCTGTCGGTTAAGCCTCCGACTCTTGATCTTGGCTCATGTCCTGATCCCAGAGTTGTGAACTCAAACTGCGGTTGGATTCTGCTCTGGGTGTGGAGTCTACTTAAGATTCTCTCTCTCCCTCTCCCTCTGCCCCTCCCCACCTCTCTCTCTCTCAAAAAAGAAAAAAAAGAGTATTGTCCCATCCATCTGATCCCCAGCTCCCACAGCCTGGGATTTAATAAAAAATTTTTAATTTTAGAATAGTGTTGGGTGTGCAGAAAAGCTGGGACGGTAGCTCTCCGTTGCCCCACACCTGATGTCTCCAATATATTGCTGGCATCTGACGTTACTATGGTACATTTGTCACAACTAATGAACTAATGTTGATCCATTATCATTAGTTAGTTCTGATTCCTCAGTTTTTACCTAATGCCTTTTCTCTGCCCCAGGATCCCACATTGCATCGAGTCATCAGGTCTCCTTAGGCCCCTCCAACTTGTGACAGTCTCTCAGACTTTCCTTGTTTTTGTTGACCTCAGCAGTGTTGAAAAGTCAAGTATGTTTTGTCTGTATCAGTATGGACTGGTGAATATTCATTTTATTTGGGTTATAATCCAACACTATTTTATTTTTTATTTTTTTAAAGATTTTATTTATTTATTTGACAGAGAGAGACACAGTGAGAGAGGGAACACAAGCAGGGGAAGTGAGAGAGGGAGAAGCAGGCTTTCCATGGAGCAGGGAGCCCGATGGAGGGCTCAATCCCAGGACCCTGGGATCATGACCTGAGCCGAAGGCAGACGCTTAACGACTGAGCTACCCAGGCGCCCCCCAACACTATTTTATTGACTTTGTTGCTCAAATTGTTCCAGCACTGGCCCCTGGGAGCCCTTTCAGCTGGCTCCTGTGTCCCTTTAACAAACCCCATATTTTTAGAATGTCCCTCAATTTGGGCGCCTGGGTGGCTCAGTTGGTTGAGCGACTGCCTTCGGCTCAGGTCATGATCCTGGAGTCCCGGGATCGAGTCCCTCATCGGGCTCCCTGCTCAGCTGGGAGTCTGCTTCTCCCTCTGACCCTCCTCCCTCTCATGTTCTCTGTCTCTCATTCTCTCTCTCGCAAATAAATAAAATCTTAAAAAAAAAAAAAAGAATGTCCCTCAATTTAAGTATGTCTGATGTTTTTCCTCCTCATAGCCGGACTGGTTTAGTAGAGGAAGGTCACAGAAGCTAAGTGCCATTCACATCACATCAGATGAAGGGCACATGCCATCAACCTGATTTCTCCCCATTGCTGTTAACCTTGATCACCTGTCTAAGGTCGTGTTTGTCAGTTTCTCCGCTGTAAAGTACTGTGATACCCACCCCTTCATTCTGTCCTTGTTGGAAGGAAGTCACTATGGAAGGAAGCCCACACTTAAAGGGGGGAAGTTATAAATTACTTGGAATTCTTCTGCATGGGAGATACGTCTCTTCTCCCCTATTTATTCAACCATTTGTTTATATCAGTATAGACTCATGGATATTTATTTTATACTTTGGGTTATAATCCAGTACTATGTTATTTATTTTCTGCTCAAATTGTTCCATCTTTGGCCAATGAAATCTCTCTCAATTTGCTCCTGTGTCCCTTTGACAAACCCCATCGTACATGGCTGCATGCACTTGAGGGTGAGGGTATGTGTGTGTGTGTGTTTAGCACTTTTGTACTCTCTGGCACTAGAAGATGCTCTAGGCTCATCCTGTGTCCTTCCTGCCCCAGGCCTAGAATCAGTCATTTCTCTAAGCATCCCGGGCTCCTTTTATTGGAGAATGATATTAGAAGCCGAGATCTGGCACTAGATGTGCTCATTGCTGCCGGGGTACCTTGCTTCCATGCCCTCTTGCTGACAGAATAAGCAGACATACGTTCATATACTAACCTATGCATGTACACAGATCTATAAATATTTCTATATGTGTCCATCTGCAGCTGTAGTAAGCTGAGCATGAGTTCATACTGACGTCCCTGACTCTAATCCAGTACCGCACGGATTATTCTAGCCTTCCCCTTTGCTTGCCTGTAACCTCCCACTCCATCAGAGAGAAACCTGGCTGCCACAGTCTATTTACTAATTGTTCAATTCCAGCATGCACATGTGTGATTTCAGAATTGTTAACCCGTACCCCGTGGGAAACAGCTTCCCCAGCTAGAGGTGTTGTGTTCCATATGCCTTTAATTTTGCAGATTCCACTCACTTCCAAAGTTACTTCGGTGAGCATCTTTTTGCCCATCCAAACCTTTTTTCCTGGGCTGGATCTCCCCTTCTTCTGACGATAAATCTGACCGTCGGGGCTCCGGCAGTGATATTCTCCGTGGAGACCGGGTCCCCACATCGGTCCCCTCTGCCTTCGCTGGACTGAGGGACACCCCCTCATCTCAAAACAGCCTAGATGAACCTTCTCGACCCACCTGCCAGGTTCCATGACCTCATGGGTGGACCCAGCCCATGGCCCAGCTCCAGCCAGCCTTCGCTCCTGTCTGAGCATCGTTGCTTGCCCCCCAGGACCACTCAGCAGGGGCTGGCCACTCTGGGCCCTGGCCAAGCTGTCCAGCCATCCTGCTGGTCTGCCTGGTAACTGGGGCCTTCTCAGGTTACTCGGAGGATCACTTTGCCTTAGAAACTCCAGCTGTCACCTCGGGTGCATCAGTAACTGACGCCAAGGCCCTGAGCAGCAGAGGGCTGGCAACAAGCTAGTGTCCTCAGGCATTCCACAAGCCCTGTGCTCTGTCCCTGCGACCACTGAACTTGCCAGTGAGGAAGGTGAGCAAACTTGGGAGCATGGGGTTCAGCCCCCAATATTCTGGGACGGGCGGCCCTGGGATGCCTCCCTCTCATGCCCTGAGATAGTCCATCAGCCCTGCCAGGAGCCTGGATTCCAGTTTCTGGGTGAAGGTGAGAGAGCAGAGAGCGACCCACACCAGGAGCTCGGGGTGGGTGGAAGAGGGCTTGAGTCACTCTGCAGGGCTGGGGACACACGGGAGGGCTTGACCTGGTGTAGAAGCCCAGCGGGGTCCGAGTGATGGCAGCCCCTTTGGATCTGTGGGCTCCACAGGCTGGGTGTAGAGGAGCTAGGCATTGTCTGCTCTGGCCTCTGAGAGGCAGCCTTGCCACAGCTGTGCCCCAGCCCCAAATTCAGAGCTGCCAGCCAGCCCCTCTTTGGTTGTGGAGGAGCTGACTACTTCTCACGGTACAAGAACTGACCTCAGGCTCCTCTAAGATGTGGTGATGCCCCCACCCCATCTGGGCCCAGGGCACCCAGGAGTCCAGCGAAGCCACCAAATGACAGAGTAAGTGTCCCCGAGGCCCCGGGGCAGCATGGCCACCTGGCAGAGGAGGACCACGTCCCCTGGGATGGGCTCGGGAGGCAGCTGGCCAGCCTTGGGGTGTGACAGCCTCCACCATACCCAGGTGAGGAGTGCTCACACTGTCCTCTGGTGTCCCGGTGAGACCGATTCTCCCTGGTTGTCCCTTAAGTGTCCCTGGTTCTTCCTAGTCCACAATGCTGCTGGAACCCCGGGTCTCCTCCTCGCCCCAATTCCCCAGCCGCTAAGACGTGTTCAGGTGTCTTGGGAGAGGGAGCTATGGGCAGATGACTCCATGTGGAGGGCCTTCAAATCCAGCCCTCAGACGTTCTCTGAAGCCAGAGTCAGGAAGTCCTCTGAACTAAGGACCCTTCCCCGGAAAACAGAGCCTTCACACCACATACGGCCTACAGTTTCAGAGGCTGTCCGTGGACTGTGAAAAACCCCTGCCCTAAACAGACCTACAGGAACACACATAGATTGTTCTATCCAGGACAGTCACCTTCGTCTCCCTGGGCTGAGTTTGTTAACCTCAAAAATAAAAGTTATTTTTCCAGGAAAAATGGGTTAACCCAGGAATGGTAGAGAATAGCAATTCAGGACAAGCAAGCTATGGCAAAAGCCATAGACGAGTCCAACAAACAAAGGAGAGGAACTTTATAGAGAAGAACAAGGAAGCTGGGAGGGGTGGTTTTGAACAGAAGTCCATTGGAGAGAAGCAAGAGATGGGGGTGATCATGGTTCCTCATTGGCTGAGTTGCAGGGGTGGTCCTTTTCTTGTAGGAGAGGCAATGTACATCTTTTCCTGTTGGACTTGTAATCGATGATTCTTTTCTGTTTGATGATTCTTCTGTCGGGCTTTGGAATAGATAATCCTCACTGTAATTGAGGGAGAATTGTATGGCTCCCCCTTCTGGCCTCCTGACTCCGTTTTAGGAGGTCTCCCTTTATTAATGTTCACTTTTGTGTCTCCCGCCCACTCACCAGCCCACACGATCTGGCCTCTTTTGGAGGACAGAGGCACCCCCTCCCCTAGACCCAGGAGCTCAGAGACCTCCAAATCAGCCATACCATGCTTCCCCAAGGAAGTCAAAAAGGAGAGTCATACAATTCAAAAGGCAAATACCCGCCAAAGTCAGTGGGAATTTGTGAGCTCATGTCACTGAGAAGTCCTTTTGTCACATGGACGTTGGTGAATTTCAGGCACAGCTGGATCCTGGAGTTGAGCCACTATCTTAAGACCTAATCCTCCACCCAGAGGCAGAGAGGAGCAGAGGCCCAGACTGGCCCATCTCCTGGGTCTTTAAGCGGCCTGCAGCACGGTGGACAGGGCCAAAATGAACCGCTGTGCGGTCTCTCTCTCTCTCTCTCTCCAGCCGCACTTCCAGCGCTGCCATGCCGGCCACCAACCAGGGCTGGCCCGAAGACTTCGGCTTCCGGCTGGGCGGCTCGGGCCCCTGCTTCGTCCTGGAGGTGACAGAAGGGAGCAGCGCACACGCCGGGGGTCTGCGGCCCGGGGACCAGATCCTGGAGGTGGAGGGGCTGGCCGTGGGTGGCCTGAGCCGCGAGCGCCTGGTGCGCCTGGCCCGGCGCTGCCCGCGCGTGCCGCCCAGCCTCGGCGTGCTCCCGGGCCCCGACGGCGACGACCCAGGCGCGGCATCCGGCCATGCTTCCGCGACCCCAGCCCTGCGGCCCCCGCGCCCCGGCCGAGGCCTCTCCCTGGGCCGTGAGCTTCTGCGCCTGGCCCGCCGCAAACGCCCCGAGGCCGTGCACCGGGAGCGCAGGTGCAAGGCCCAGGAGTTCAGCCGCAAGGTAGGACAAACGAGGGGTGGGGCGTGGTTGGCAGGGTCCCCCCGGCAGCTGGGCAGGCTCTTCTGGGGCCTAGCGTGGGCCCGGAGCTGAGGAGTCTTCTCGGGACATACTTACCAGAAATATGACGTGCGAGCTTCAAGGCCCTGTACCTAATTTTGTGATTCTGTGTGGTTTTGTGGGGGTTGCTTTTCTCTTTTATTGAGATGCACAGCTGTACAGAAAAGTACATTAAGTGTACAGCTTACAGGATTTTACAGATGCCCTCACCCTTGTAATCACCCCCTGATCAAAATGCAGATGGACAGAATATAGATAGAGTGTAGAAAACAGAATGATTCCTTCACCCCAGAAAGTTCCCGCGTGCTCCTTTCTCTGTCTGTCCACCCCATGAAGAGGTAGCTGCTATTTTTTTTTTTAAGATTTTATTTATTTATTTGAGAGACAGAGAATGAGAGAGCACATGAGAAGGGGGAGGGTCAGAGGGAGAAGCAGACTCCCTGCCAAACAGGGAGCCCGATGCGGGACTCGATCCCGGGACTCCAGGATCATGACCTGAGCCGAAGGCAGTTGCTTAACCAACTGAGCCACCCAGGCGCCCCGGTAGCTGCTATTTTGACTTGTGTCGTTATAGATGACTTTTGCCCGTTTGTGAACTTTATATTACTGAATACACAGCATGTACTCTTTGGTGCTGAGCTCCTTGTGCTCAACACTTTGCTGTGACTTTCATCCATGTCGTGTGGCCGTGGGTCATTCCTCTTATTGCCTGTATTACTAACAGTGTCTTAGTCTGTGGCGGCTGCTGTAACAACATACCAGAGACAGGGAGGCTTAGGAAAAACAGGCATTTATTGCAGTGTATTTCTCACATTTCTGGAGGCAAGAAGTCCAGGATCTCAGGGCCAGTGGATTCAGTGTCTGGTGAGAGCCACTTTCTGGTCCATAGCTGGGGGCTTCTCACTGTGTCCTCACATGGTGGAAGGGGCAAGGAAGCTCTCCGGGGTCTCTTTTCAAAGGGCACTAATCCCATTCATAAGGGCTCCACCCTCATGACCAAAGCACCTCCCTGAGGCCCTACCTCCTAATACCATCATCGTTGGGGCTTAGGATTTTAAGATATGAATTTGGGAGAAACACAAACATTCAGACAATAGCACATAGTGTTCTTTTCTTTAAAGAGCCATACTTGTTTCAAGCCCCCACAAAACTGGGGCCTGGCCCTGCCTTACACAGTAGTCTGGCTGGCTAGTTGGCAACAGGAGGCCCTGGTTCAAGCCCCCTGACCTTCCAAAGGCATTTCCTATCAGACTTTGGCAGGAACAGACCCTGAGGGGTGGCAGGTGGAAAGTTAGGGCTTCCCCGAGGACTGAGAGTCAGATCCTGGAATGGCCAACATCCTTAGCCACAAGAGGAGTCCAAGGTCTGAGTCACCTACAGGAAGCAAAGGGTGGCCACCAGGAGAGGTAGAGACCCAGAGCTGGAAAAGAACATCTGAGGATGGAGTTGTCCTCTGGCCAGGATCCTGAGCAATCCCCGATTTGCAGAAACCTGGCCCTTTTCTGGACAAATCCAGAGAAATCCAAGAAACCTGGATGTAACACAGGGAAGAGGCTGACCAGTGGGTCCACAGGAGCCCCCTGGAAGGTGTCACTGCAGTAACTACCTCAGGCCCTCCGCCCTCATATACCTGTCCTCCGGGGCCTTCAGATGTGGGTGCCCAGCCCAAGATCTTGGAAACTCAGTTTGATGACTGGGACACTTGAGTTCACAGACACCCTCCCTTGTCCTCCATGGAAAGGGCACTGCTCATTCGTTCTCTTGGCAGAGCGTGGCCATGATGTTTTGGGGGGCAGAGGGCTGGGAGCCCTGCTGTTAGAGAACTGGTTCCCAGCCCACTGCCCAGGTATCAGATCTCCATTCACCTGGCCTTCTCCAGTGCCCAAGCTTGGTCCAGTCCTTCCTTCTAAACTGAACCCCCTCAGGAGCTTCACCTCCACCATGTACCCTGACATGACCCCTTGTCTGGGCAGGACCCCAGCTTGAGCCTTTCAGCCCATGGCCCTGGAGCAGGCCAGCCTCTGTAGCCAAGTATATGCAGTCACTCACACATACACACACGACTCAGCTCTGGCCTCACCAGTGTCCAGCTCCTCAGAAGATGTGGCTTTCTTTCTATCCCCAGAACAGGCTTTGCTGTTATAACAGACATCAAACATCTTGGTGCCTTTGCACACCCCACGGGTTTATTCTCCATTCGCACAAAGTCCTCTAAAAGTTCAGGCGCTCTCCAGGCTGGCTGACCTCTGCACGAGGCCTCAACATGCCAGGCGCCCCCATCTCAAAGTACAGCTTCAGGAGTTTCTGTAGAGGAGGAAGAGAGCGTGGAAACGTGCCCATCAGCCCTTAAGGACTTCAGAGAGGGAGCAAAGCGCTGCACCTGCAGCCGGCGCTCATTGGCCAGAACTAGTCACACCACTGCTCCCAAAGGGTGCCGGGAAATGCCGTCTTCTGTGCACCCAGGGAGGGGAGGGGAGCTAGCAATATTGATGAGCACGAGTGGCTCAGTCCGTCCCTGCTGCTGTAACAGAATACCAGACTGGATGGCTTAGAAACCACAGGAATGTATTTCCCACAGCTCTGGAGGCCAGACGTCCAAGATCAGGGTGCCAACATGGTGGAGCGAGGACTCTCTTCTGGGTGGCAGACCTCTCGTGTCCTCACGGGAGGGAAGGAGCTGGGAGCTCTCCGGGCTCTCTCTCGTAAGGGCACTGATCCCATTCACAAGGACCCCACTCTCATGACCTCATCCCCTCCCAAAGGCCCCATCTCCTAATACCATCATATTGGACAGTAGGTTTGCAACATATGAATGGGGGGGCGGGGCACCACCATTCAGACCGCAGCAACTGGTAATGTCTGCTATAATCCCAGATGACCTGCTACAGAACCCAAGGCCTGTCCCAGACTCCATCTGACCCCTGGAGAGTTGGAAGGGGGCACGGTGAGAGCCCCCAGAAGGGCAGGATGGATGGCAGACCTGGCCGCAAGGCAGGGCCAGGGTGGTGAGCAGCTGCCCAGGCCAGCCAGGGTGTGTGTTCTGACAAGGGGGAGTGGGAGCGGTGGGTTCTGGTTTGAGCTCACCAAGCACCTCCAAAAACCGAGAGCAAATCCCCAGAAGAGACTGCCTCAGGACAAGCAAGGGCTTTCTGACAATTAGCTCCCGGGTTCTCACCGGCGCTCTCCCTGCCCCAGTTTTTTCTCCTTGAAGAGTCTGATATTTAAGAGAAAATCCATTAGTGTCCCGTGATGGTGCCTCACGCTTAGATGTAGGTTGACACCAAAACCACACTGTGGCACAGGACCCAGGGGGGAGGAACTATTTTTTCTTCTTTCTTACGTAAAAGTCTTTCCAGCTAGCCACGTTCTCCTTTGAATTGAGGCTGCCGCTGACTTTGATCGCAAAACCACTAACCTTCCTCAGCACAGTGGGTGCATGAGGTGGGGGCGCTGGTGCTGAGGCCTGCCCTACTCACCGCCAGGGAAACTGAGGTCAGCAGGAAATGCAGCGAGAGGACAGCCGGCCATCTGTGGCTCTTGGGTTCAGCTCCATGAACATTCACTGAGGGCCTACTATGTGCCAAGCCCTGTGCTTGGGGCTGGGCGGGAGCAAGACCTCAGGTCTGGGTCTCAGGCCCTCACGGCAGGTCATGTCAGATGGAGGAGACAGACAGCAACAGACTTTGTGGGGTGCACGTGCTAGGACTCAGACATGAGGCCCCTGAAGGCCCCTGCTTCTGTCACCGCCTCTGGAAAGCCGGCCTTAACCCCCTTGTGCAACTATCTAGGAAGGAGTTGGACATGCAGTTCTGAAGCTCTGGGGCAAGCTCTGGGCTGAAGATCGAGGTCCAGAAGTCACCATTTGGGGTCCTTGCCCAGAGTTGCCATGGAGCGCTGCCACTAGGGGGCGCCCTGCAGTGGGTCAGGGCAACTGGATAGAAATAGCAAATGTAGACAGCTTTGGGCCAGGAAAAATAAGAGGATGCTCGGGTTGCAGGGTAAGAAGGACTTTATGTACTCATGTATTTATAGGTTGGGAGAGACTCGAACATTTATATAAGCTGAAGGGAAGGAGGTAGTAGAGACACTGAAATCCATGTGTTTTGCCATCACTGATGATTGGACCTGTGATGCCCAGGGGCCCTGGGAGACAGCTGTGATGAGGACAGGCAGGGAACCTACTCCCATGCAGCGGGCGTCCCTATGGGGAAAAGCCAGCGAGGAAGTGTACAAATGTATAAACAAGCTATCTGGGGATCATGATCAAGGAAGTGAAGAAATAAACAGGGAGATGAGAGAGAGAGATGGGGGCCGCTTGGCCACAGTGGTCAGGAAGGCTCCCTGAGGAGGTGACTTTCGCGAGCTGAGAGCCGAGTGGCAAGTAGGTGGAGGAAGAGAAGGTGGGGACGGGTGGGGCAGTGGGGTGTCTGTGGACTGGAGGGCCAGCCTTGGTCAGGAAGGCAGAAGCTCTTCATCCTCTGACAGCAGAGGGTGGTGGGGAAGGATGCTGTCTGTGGACGTTGGGGGTGGATGGAAGGTGATGAATGTGGTACGAACAGCCCTAGCTCTGGCTGAGATTGCGCCCACCCTCCCCTGAGAGAGAGGCACGGCAAACCCACACACTCACTCCGTTGCCCAGCCTCCCACCTGCGCTTCAGGGTCAGCTCAGGGCATCGGTGTCCAGCTACACCCCAGAACCCCTGACTATCAAGGGAGGGCTCTCATGGAGTACGGACAGACAATGCTTAACTGCTGCATAAACAAAAACTAACCATTTCAGACACAAAAGCCGCATACTGTTATGATTCCACTCACAAGAAGTATCCAGTAGAAGCAAACCCATGGAGACAGAAAACAGATTAGTGGTTACCAGGGGCTGGGGAAGAGGAGAGTGGGGAGTGAGTACTTCGTGGGCACAGAGTTTCCATTTGGGGGAGTATGAAACTGTTCTGGAACTGGACGGTGGTGATGATTACACCACACCGTGGCAGGTACTTAATGCCACTGAATTGTACACATTAAAATGGTTACAATGGTAGTTGTATGTTATGTGCATTTTTTTAAAAAGATTTTATTTATTTATTTGACAGAGAGAGACACAGCGAGAGAGGGAACACAAGCAGGGGGAGTGGGAGAGAGAGAAGCAGGCTTCCCGCAGAGCAGGGAACCCGATGCGGGGCTCGATCCCAGGACCCTGGGATCATGACCTGAGCCGAAGGCAGACGCTTAATGACTGAGCCACCCAGGTGCCCCTGTTATGTGCATTTTTACCACAGTAAAAAATAAAGGGGAAAAAAAGGAACAGTGATAACATGCCTTCCTTTTCCTGACTGTATAAGTCATATAAGCTCACTATATATTTTTTTAAAGATTTATTTATTTATTTGAGAGAGTGAGAATGAGAGAGAGTACATGAGAGGGGGGAGGGTCAGAGGGAGAAGCAGGCTCCTCGCTGAGCAGGGAGCCCAATGCGGGACTCGATTCCGGGACTCCAGGATCATGACCTGAGCCAAAGGCAGTCGCTTAACCAACTGAGTCACCCAGGCGCCCCCATATAAGCTCACTATAGAAAAGATGGAAACCATTGACTTATTTTAAAAAACTCCAAATTACTATAAAACTTAGTGCATATTTCTAATTCCTAGATATATGTGTAATCATATATGTCTACAAATATAACACTGTGTATTCCATTTGTAAACTGTTTTTCTCACTTGCCTGTTTATCACATTTTTCTGTATATCTTATAACAGCTTTATTGAGATAGATTCGCATATCATACCATCTACTCATTTAAAGTGTACAATCCAGTGGTTTTGGGTATATTCACAGATTTGTGCAACCATCACCATGATCAATTTCAGAACACGCTAGTCACCCCAAAAAGAACGCCCATACCCTTGGCCATCACTCTCCATTTCATGGTTTTATTTTTTATTTAAGATTTATTTATTTTAGAGAGAGAGCAGGGGGAGGGGCAGAGGGAGGGAATCCTCAAGCAGACTCCTCGCTGAGCATGGAGGCCAGCGCAGGGCTCAATCCCAGGACCCCAAGATTATGACCTGAGCTGAAATCAAGAGTTGGACACTCAACCAACTGAGCCACTCAGGTGCTTCTCATGGGTTTTGTTTTGTTTTTTTAAGATTTTATTTATTTATTTGAGTGAAAGAGAGTGAGCAAGAGACAGAGAGCACAAGTCGGCGGAGGGGTTGGAGACAGGCAGAGGGAGAAGCAGACTCCCCTCTGAGCAGGGAGCCTGATGCAGGACTCGATCCTAGGACCCTGGGATCATGACCTGAGCTGAAGGCAGATGCTTAATGACTGAGCCACCCGGGGGCCTCAGCCCCTCATTGTTTTCAATAAGTATCTACAGCATCATTCTTTCTGGCCAAAAAGTACCACATTGCATCAAATTGAAAACATTGTCAATTGAAAGACATCCCATTTTTTTATCACAAAAAGAGAAATACCCCTGGCAATAAACCCATGACACATACTTCCTTATCACCTACTTGTCAGTTAATTTAGTAGTTATTAGAAAAGGACTTTAGACTTATATGAACATATTTAGTACCAGCAATGCACATAAGTCAGTGTAAGTAACAATATGAACACCTACGACCACATCCATATGCATGGCAGCTAGCCATAAGATACATCATGATTTCAGAGATTTTAGAATATGAAAAATGCTCACCCCAGAATCAACGCTATCTGGTACCACAGAGTATCAAGTGAACTTGGCTCTCAAACAACAGACATTGACTCTGCTAACTTAGTCAGGAAAGGGATTTGTGGGAGGAACAGTTTGCAGAATCCGCGCTGGAGATCCAGCCTTAGAACCAGGACAGGACCTGGAGCCCAGCTGTCCTTCATCACCCTGTCAGGAAGAGTCTGCTCAGGGTGCACTGTGGGGCTTGGCCACCACCCTCAACAAGCTCTGCTGTCCCCGCATCTCTGCATCATTTTTTCAAGAGCCAAAACTCTGGACCAGAGCCTCCAACTGCCCAAGGCTTCCACATAACTGCCAGGATCCTTCCTCCCACGTAGCCTGGGGTTTCCTTCTTTCTTAGCTGAATAGCCAGGACTACAAATATCCCCCAAATGGATGTGCTAAAACGATTTATTCCATATTATCAGATATCTCTATTGCTTCCAATGTCTCCGTATTATAAACAACACAGAGGTGAGCCTCTTCACTCAAATATCATTGCGCGTCATCCTGTCTTTCAGGACATCTCTAGGATACATTTCTAGATCATTGGGTAAGGTGATGGGTGCATTTTCAGGCTCTGGACGCACTTACCAAGGCTGGCCTCCAGAAACATGGTGCCTACTTGCATGTCCCTTTCCAAGGAGGCATGGACTCCTCTGAGTAGATGTACTTTGATTGGTATCAGCTGGTTGGTACACACAGCAGAAGAAAACAGAAGTCCCAAGGAAGCCCTGAGGGAGTCCGAATTCAGGGCTAGGCACACACTCCAGGGCTTTTCGGTGGAGCCAGAATGTTCTCGGTGGGATCTCTCAGCGCACAGTGTGGTGGAAAGGAGTATAGTGTTATAATAATAGTAACTAGCAATTACTGAGCGCCTGGCACATTGTAAAGCTCTTGTATTGATTCCTTTGATCCTTATAATACTCAGTAGAAGAGCTGTCTCTGAATTTGAGTCCTGACCCTGTGGCCTTGGGCAGGTCACTCCACCTACACCAGCCTCTGTGTGCTTAGATGTAAATGAAGATATTAGCCATGTCCTCTTGTCTGTCTGTTAGGAGGTGGGTAATGTGATTTGGGTAGAGAGCTCACCACAGAGCTCAGGCAGTGCTCCCATGTCAGCTGTCCCATGGAGGTAAACTGAGGGCGGAAGGGAAGGAAGTGAACAGTGTTCTGCTCTGGTCCCCTGTGGTCATTCACCAAACCCTTCTGCGCAGGTGGATGAGATCTTGGGGGACCAGCCGACTGCCAAGGAACGGGTGTTTGCCGCCCTGAAGCAGTTTGCGGCCGAGCAGCGGGTAGATGACCTGGTGTGGGCGCTCACCCTGGAGCTGCCCCGTGAGGCCCGCACACCACTCCTGGACAACCTCAGGTACCTCGGTTGCGCGGAGGGAGGGGCAGGCAGGGTGTGTCTCGCTCGGTGGTGCCCACTCTCCCACCACCACCCCCGGCATTGCGCATCCTGCTACCGGACGGGGCCCCAATACCGACAGAAGGGCTGCTAGATGCTGGGCTGGGACATGCTGCAGAGAGGACCCACCTCCTGCGGAAAGGACATCCCCATGCTAGAAACAGGGTGTGCTCTCCACCCTTTGATGATGCCAGTTGTGTGCTGGCATCGCCAGGGCCCTAGAGGAACACTCTCTGGCTGGATCATCTCGGTGCTATTATTATCCCCATTTCCCGGAAGCAAACTGAGGCTCAGAGAGGTTAAGAGGCTGGCCCAAAAGTCACACAGCTAATGAGTGGCTGTCACAGGACTGTGAACCCACCAGCTGTGCACTTTCTGTTCTTCTGCTCAGCTTTGGACCCTGTAAGTTTATCCTTTAGGAAAAAAAATTCCTGGTGAGTTGACACTTGGAGTGGCCCCTGAATCTCCCAAGCCCCCCCCACACCCACCCACTTTCCTGCCGGGGCATCACGGCCCTGCACGGCACAGCTTTGATCAGGCCCTCACTGGGCCTGAGTGAGGCCTTCCCTGTCAGGATCCTGGGTGGGGGTGCCTTTCTCTCCTCACCGTGCCTCCAGGGCCTGAGACTCCTCCCCCCCCCCTTCCTGGGCTCAGCCTGCCCCCTCCCCTTGCTGCCATTCACCCCGCAGCCTGCCCCTCCCTCTGGGCCTGGCCAATGTCAGGGACGGGGCTGGCCACCACCACCCCCCCACGCCCAAAGTCCGGGCGGGCGCAGCTGCTTGGCTCTGCAGCTGAGCACAGAAGGCCACCGAAAGAGGCCACCATGAGCTGCCTGGGGTGAGTTAGGGGCCTGCCCCTTGCTACGAAAATCCAGAGAGGAAAAAAAAGTTATTCCTACAGCCTAATTTGCAGTGGAGATGATGTGCTGGTGCTGAGGGCTCCCCGGGGGGGGGGGGGAGGCGCGTGATGGATGGACAGCCCCCCACCCCACCCATCTCTACCAGGGCTGGGCCAGGGGCGCGGGCGGCTGGCTGTCCCCTGGGAAGTTGGCATGCGTGTGTCGCAAGGCTGCTAGCAGCCGGACTCAGCTGGAGGCCCTCTTGATTCTCCTTATCTCCCTTCGGAGCTGCCCTGGCTTCGGTCTGTGTCGCCTCTGCCTCCCAGGACAGCCTGTCTGCCTCCCCACGCCTGCTTTCCCGTCTGCAGTTCGTCCCCAAGCGACCGCCGGCAGCGGGTCAGGAAGAGCAGGGTGGGGGAGGCGCCCCCTTGGGCGTGCTGGATTTAGAGCCTGGGAAGCGGGAACCCTGGACACCGGGGGATGCCCGGTCCCCGCAGCATCCCCGGGGCACTGCTGGGGAGGATGAAACAGCAACCTCTATTGTCAGCGTGTGTCAAGTGCGACAGGAAAATTGGGGAGGATGCTGGAGGGGGGGGCGGCGCCCAGCTGGGCTCTGCAGGGAGAGGGGTACCTTGGCAGTGCGGCTTCAGCCACCCCAACCCCACCTCCTTCCCCTCCATCTCCCCACCCCCACCCCCAGGCTCTGGTGGCCCACATGCTGGGTTCCAGGGTTGCAATAGCGATCCCCATGCAGAATTTTCTAGGGGAGAGCTCTCAGGGGGCAGGGAGGAATCACAGGTATACAGTCATCTGTGATTCTGAGGGCTGAGTGCCAGCAGCCCAGGGCTAACTTAGCAGGGCGGCAATCGGGGCAGGCTCCCTGGAGGAGGCAGCAGGTGCCACTGCTGTGGCTCAGTGACCCTCAGAGTCTGTCTGGCAGGATGTCCTATGGGGTGGAGAGACAGACCCTAAGAGGAGTTCATTGGGGCCAGGCATCTAGCCACAGAAATGGACGCTGCCACGGCGAGTGGTGCCACTCTGTACCCAACACTGAGTACATGACAGTACCGGGCTGTGAACCACCTTGCCTAGGATGGGTGGCCACAAAGAGCGACAGTTTTGGCCTTAGGATACCCCACTGAGAGACAGGGTTTACATGAGAGTGAGCGCAAACAGTGAGTGGAGCTGTGTGTGTGCATGTGTGTGCATGCGTGTGCACGTGTGTGTGTGTGTGTGAGCTTGGCAGAGGCTGGAACCCACCCAAGTCACTGTGTGGCCTCTGAGAGGTGGTCCCAGTGGCCAAATCAGAAGGCTCGGGGAGAAAGAAGCAGTGAGACCATGAAGCACGGTAGCCACATGTGGCTTTTTAAGATTAAATTTAATGACTACTAAATCAGATTTGAAATTCAGCTTCTCAGTCTCACTAGCCACATATGACTCGTGGCCACAGTGCAGGACGGTGCACCTTTAGAACGTGTTCATCATCGAAGAAAGTTCTCTTGGACAGTGCTGCTGTGAGCGTAAGATTTGGGTCAGTGGTGGTAATGGAAGCAAAGGGTCTCATCTTCCTCTATGACAGCAGTTCACCCTGCAGCTCAGAGCTTAATTTGGGTCTATCCCCAAAGGGATCCGAGTTTGATGAAGTGACAAAATGACTTTCTAATTAGGACAGGCCAGGCCAGGCAGCTTGGGAAGTGTGACGTGGTTAGGAGGGAGCAGGAAAGCAAAGGCAGCTGTGTGGTCTTGGGTGTTTCAGGAAATCTGGAAAGAGAGGGAGGAGCCAGCGGGTGGGAGGAGAAGGAAGCGCAGGGACAGTGCTGGAGGAAGCTGGGGTCTGGAATCCCCAAAGACCTTGGTCAGACCCCCAAGTCCACTCACGGGCTGTGCAACCTTGAGCAGGTTCATTGACCTCTACAGTCTGTCTGTAAAACGGGGTGGGTCATCCTTACGTGTTCCCAGCAGAGTGCTCGGTAGGCAGTCACAGAAATGGACCCTGCCAACAGGACACAGAAAAGAGATTAGCTGAGAATGGGGGGGAGGGTGCGAGGGAACACCTGTACCCCCTCCATCCTCCTCTGCTTTAGGGACCAGTGTCGGAGACACCATAATACAAAGTGATCGGGAGAACTCTATGAAACCGTGGGACATGGTATGTGCTCAGTTAGTGTGGGCTTCCCCTACGGAAGGTGTCTTTCTCCCTAGAGCAGGTTTCTCAGCCATGGCACTTTGACACTTGGGGCCCGAGAATCCTCTGTGGTTGGGAGTTGGCCTGTGTGTTGTAGGATGTTTAGCAGCGTCTCTGGCCTCCACCCACTAGAGGCCGGTAGCACACTCCCCATCCCTATTGTCATTTTGTGACCATCAAAACTGTCTCCAGCTAGTGCCAAATGTCCCCTGCGGGGCAAAATCCCCAACTGAGAGCTTCCGCCCCAGAGTGATCTGCCTTTGGTAGCACCCTCTTGCGGGGGCGGGCACTTCAGCAAACTCCATCTGTTGCTTGACCCCAACCCGCCCGCCCCCCCCCCCCCCCGTTGTCTTGGGCTATCTGATGCACCAGCTGCTCTCCCCTTCTGATGGCTTCCCTGTGTGCTGGGGCGCTGGGACAGAGGGGTGCCATGCAGTGCGGACAGACAGGGACAGGGATAGGGGATGACAAGGACACCGGGCCCCAAGGCAGGATGTGCACTTCTGCCTCTGTCCGGATGCAGGCATGAGCATTTGCTCCATGCTCACTCCTCCTCTGCCCACAGTGAGGTGGACAGTTTTCGTAGCCTTTGGGCTGGCCTGGTTCTGGATGCTGGGCCGTCACACCCAGAACCAAAGTACCCAAAGTGGCTCTGTCATGATGGGACGGCTGTGGCCTTGCAGATGTCAGGGAGCCGTATCACTGTAGAGGTTTTCAGGCATTTCTCTCCCTGGCGGGGCTGAGGACAGGCCTGGGAGGATGCGGCATGCGTTCTGGTTCCGGCTTGCTGTTGCTGCAGGGGAGAAAAGCAGCCTTGGCTGATCATGGGAGGGTGGTGGTCTTACTGGGCCAGGAACGCGGGGCTGAGGTGTGTTGGGCAGCGTGGTCTGAACCGAGCACCAGGTCTGACCGGCTGCAGGAACCTATAGGCAGAACCACGTAAGATGTCCCTTTCTCCCAGTGACTGGGACAGAGGGAGGGTCCCAGGGTTTTCTGTCTCTGCAGCTCCTGTCTGTCTGGGTAATGGCCAACTCCTGGTTGGCCTTGTGCTGATGTCCCCCCCAGGAAGTCCTGGGCTGGCTCCCGGTATCTATGTGCCCTTTCCTGCAGGCAAGCGGGACAGGATCAGGGAGAAAATGACAACACAGTGGGTTTCCTGGGGTCTACTCCTGCTCTGGCTTCCGGGAGTAGCAGCCCCAGAGCCAGAGGAAGGGTCCAAACTCCCTTTCTTGTCATCCCCCTCTTCTCCCCTTAGCTCCCTCTCTCCCAGTAGGAGGCCCTCCGTCCACCCCCCCACTTGGGAGTTGCCCCAGCCCGGCTGCCCCTCCTCATTTCTACTCATTCACCAGATCATATACGAGATCTCCTTTCCTCTGATTCCAGAATCTCACCACGCGTCCCACCCCAAACCCTTCCCTCTTCCCCTCCAAGCCTCAAGCACTCCCCTGGTGCACCAAAACCTCTGGGGTCCCTCCTCCTCTCCTTAAATCCTTAGACCCCCCCCCCCATTGAATTCAGTCTCAGCGGCTGGCAGTAGCAATGGCATTCAAGGCCTCCCTCACAAACCGCTTCTTGATTAGCGCTTCCCCCGGGTAGGTGAGGGGGGCTTCCCCTCGCTGACCCACTCCCTGAAACCTAGCGCAAAGGCCACGCCCTCCGGAAAGCCTTCCCATGCTCCACAAAAGAAAGTCGGGGCTCCTTCCGAACCTTGGGGTTCAGTCTCGCTGCAGCCAGGGGCCGGGACTCGCCACGGTGCAGGGGACCTGGGCGCCCCGGCCCGAGGTAGGAGGCGAGACACCTGGGGAGGGACTGATGGAGCGAGCGGAGAGGAAGCAGCGTCGACAGCTCTGAACCGCCCCCAGTTCCCCCGGAGCTAGCTGTAGGGTCCCCCGTGGGGGCGGGGCGGGGCGGGGCGGGGCCACCGGAGGGGGCGGGCGCCGGGCCGCGGGCCGGGAGGGCTCGGGAGGGGGCGAGTGCGCTCGCCCGGCAGTGACTCGTGGAGTCGCGGCGCCCTCGCTCTGCTCGCGGGCTCAGCCACCCCTGCCTGTCGGCACCTGCCACGCCGCCGTCGCCGGCCAGATGGGGAAGGACCAGGGCTTCTCTCGGCACTTTCGGTAGTTTCCTTACCGCGCCCCGCGCCCCCGGGAACTGTGCGCCCTAGGCGCGGCGGACCCGCCTCGGGCGGCCTGAGAAGGGGTGGGGCTGGGGCACTGAGGTGGACACCCACCCGGCATAAGGGGGCGAGTTCCCCGCGTTGGATGCCTGGAACCTGCACGCGCCCCTGGGGGTCGGGATGGGGATCGGAGGGGGGACCAAGGGCTGGGACTGAAAAGCTCTCTTTCCTTCCTACAATTGGGCAGGTCGAGGGAACTGGCCAGAGAGCTGAGACAGGGAATGTGGTAGAGAGAGAGGACCCTAGGGCAGCCCCTAGGAGGAATCTGGACACGGATTTACGCCTGACCCCACCAGGCAGAGGGAACAGAACTGACTGACTGGAACGTCATTGTGTGGCCAGGGAAGCGTCCTGTGGTCTCAGAGAAGCCTGTTGGCGTGGCGGGGACCTGGGAGTCCTGGGGCAGCCATGCTGTCAGGGTCAGAGGAGCAGTGATCTGCCACAGTGGTCCACGAGGCCCCATTGTGCCTGGCTCTCCTGGGTTAGTGGTTTCAGAGCAGACCCGGGCTGGGGTGCCTGGCCAGACTGAGCTGCATGGAGGGCCAACACAGGCCAGGAAGGGCATCTGGCCTCACAAGGCAGCCTTGGCCTCTGGCTTAGTCCCAAGGACACCAAGCAGAGAAAAGGCCACCAATCTTCTCCCACCTGTGCAGTTGGTGACTCACCATGGTTACCACCCTGGGGCGGGGGTGGGGGGTGGCGGGAGGTCTTTTCTAATTGCTGCTGGAGGGTGGAGCTGGAATGGTCATCTGGCCCCTGCCCAGGTTGGACCTAGGGCCTTCTGGAGCCTGGGGCTGGAGCCCAAAGTGTGAGGTGGACAATTTCTGGCTTGTCATCCCTCCTTTGCCTGGGCATGAGGCATGTGGTGGGTCTGGGAGGGTGTGGGGAATGTGTGGGTCAGGCAGATGGAGGTGTCAGGCTCCAGAGACCTTGAGTGACCATTTGGGGAATGAGGCTGAGGCTCTAGATTTTTGGGAATCGCTGTGGGTGGACAAGGATGAGCATCAGGCCAGAATGCTCCTGGAGGAGTTGAGCAGGCCTTTCATTTTGGCCTCCTGGTCACCTAGAACGTTCAGACCTGGAGCAGAGCTCACTGAGGGGCAACCCTGATGCACCCTCCTCCTGGAGGACCCACATCTCTTCCCTCCTACCAGGCAGCTTATTCTGCCTGCCTGGTCTTATTAATCCTACCCATAGAGGTCAGGGAAACCGATTGGGGGCCACTGGATGACCTCAGAGGGGTTGTATTTCAGCTGGCTGCAGAACCATTGTTCCCGTCTTCCTCCCTCTTCCCCACCATGCCCTTGGCACTGGCTCCTGGTACAGAGAACATGGAAGGGAACATTGGGATGCGGCCAGGGAGGTCTCACTAGACACCAGAACTTCAGAGGCCCTCGGCAGAGTCCTGCCACAGTGCCGAGGCTCAGAGGCTGGCCTTCTGTCCAAGCTGTGTCACCCTGGAAAGTTACAGATCTCCTCTGAGCCCCCCGGATCCTCTGCCATGGACAGGGGAGTCCACCAGGATATTAACTGTGCCATTACTGGGAAGTATGGCTGTGCTGCTGGTGGGCCCTCTGTTTACTGAGTCACTGATCCCTCCCCTGTGTCAAACCCTGACCGGTCACTGTGGCTCCCAGCCAAGCTACAGACTAGCCCTCAGAGAGCTTCCAGCCTCGCAGGAGACACCCACAGGCACTAGGGAATCATCCCAGGGTGTAGACCCCACACAGAGTCCAACCAAGCCTCCCCACTGCCTCTCACCACTTCCTCCTCTGAGAACAGGAACCACAGTGCCTTCAGCTTTGAACCCAAGGGCACGGACAGCAGGGTCTTACTGAAGCTTGTGGGATTGAACTGAAGGAAGGCCAGCGTTGGGTGCTGAAGGTCGAGCCCAGTGTAGCCAGGAAACAGAGAGAGTGTACGGGGCAAGGACAACAGCGGGGCAAGAGTGTAAGAGGTAGGACTGGATGTGGCCGTCCTGGCAAATTCTGAGGCGGCAGCTGTAGAAAGGGCTGGCCAGAGAAGCGAGCAGGAAGGCGGGGCGTGTGATGAGGGTCTGGGGGAAGTCTGATCCCGGCCAGGCTGTGGCTTCATTTTTTTTCCACCGGAGCTGCCTGGAATCAGGTAAGAAGATGGGTGGCCAGGGATCCCTGGCTGGCTTTGGCTGGGCAGGTGCAAGGGCATGAAATGAGTGCGTAGGGGAGAGGCCAGAAATGGGAAGAGGGAGGCAGGAGGAGGAACAGGTGCACGGACGGGCTTTGGGGGCACTGAGGTTCCCCAAGACCACAGCAATGGGGATGGTCCCATTGTGACTTTCCCGAGGTGGAGAGCCGGGCACCGTGGTTCTGGTGTGGCCCAGGCCAGTTGGGGCACAAGTTCCGACACCGAGGGGGGAGACTGGAGTGCCGGCTGCTGATTCCCCTGTTACCCCTGTGTAGGGGCGCGAGAGCCTAGGGCGGCGCCCGCAAGAAGGAGCCTTTAGGCCGCGGTTTGGCACGATCGGGGCGCGGTCTGGGGGCGCGCCCCGACTCTGCGGTCCTCGCCGGCAGGATCTTCATCCCCAAGAAGCACCGGGCGCGCTTCGACGAGGTGGTGTCGCAGGGTCTGCTGGGCAAGCTGTGCCGCGCCCGGAGGGCGCAGGGCGCACAGCGGCTGCGCCGGAGCCGCAGCGAGGAGCGCCCCGAGCGCCTCCTGGTGTCCACTCGCGCCAGCGCCGCCCCGCGCCGCCCCGACGAGCCGCCCCCGCGCAAGGCTGCCTCGCTGCTGGGCGGCCGCGCGGGCCCGGGAGGCACGCGCAGGTACCCGGGGCGCGCGGGCACGGGCCGCGGACCCAGTCAGTGGGCTGGAATGAAGATCTGGGCAGAGGGCTCGGGGTCGGGGCGTGGACACCTGGGGTGGGGGTCAGGAGAGATTAAGGGGAGCAGGACACGGGACATCTCTATCCCCTACGTCCCCCAGCCTCCCTCTCCCCAGGGCAGGGCACGCTGCCAGCCCCCCACCCCACCCCTTCTTTCTCCCCAGGACAGTCCGAGTCTACAAGGGCAACAAGAGCTTCGGCTTCACGCTGCGCGGTCACGGGCCTGTCTGGATCGAGTCTGTCCTGCCTGGTGAGGGGTGGGCGGGTTGTCCAGGATGGGGTGAAGGACCCTCTTAGGCCCATACTAAGTAGCCCGTCTTCCCCCCACCCCCGGCTCTGCCCCCAGGTTCTAACTTCATGTAGTCCGTGTCCTCTAAGTACCCCAGAGGGGACATCCAAGTTGGGGCAAACCCCCTCCAAGTTCAGGGTCACCTTTGAGCCAAGAGAGCCAAGTTCTCCATCCAGACCTTTCCTATGTCCCCAGGGAGGGCTGAGGGCACTGCCCCAGACACTGGGGGAGCCAGGACACACCTGACACCCACCCAGGCTGCACCCAATCAACCTGCCCTGTGTGGGGTGCCCACTGTGAACTTGGCACTTGCTGGGCAGGCCAGACTCAGAGAGGCATCAGGCCCTCAGGGCCTCTGCCCACTATCCAGTCCCCTACCCCCAATCTGGACTCTCCTCCTGCCCCCACCCAGCCTGCCTCTTTTTGCTCCTGGAATGGTGACATCTTGAAGAAAGCAGAGCCTTCTCCGTGCAGGAATTCTTTCTTCCTGCCTCTCCAGGGTGGGTGGCGGGGGGGAGTGTGGAGAGAAACTCATTTCTTCCTGTGGCAGCACATTCCACTGTGGAAGGTCTCTGTGGGGCAGAAATGTCTCCTGGTGCTAAACTGAACTCTCCCTCCCGGTAACCACCGGGTCACCCGGGTCACCCGCTCTCTCTGTTCTGCACCCATACCCTCCCAGCACCTGTGGATGATGCTCCTGGTGACACATCCCCATTGCTGAGTCCTTTCTACCCTACCTCATCTCACACCTCCAGTGCAGGGATTTGTGGGTTGGACATCTGATCCCCAGGAAAGTGCCTTAGTGCCTTTGCATCATTGTTCCAGCCATCAGATCATTTTAAGACCGAATCCTGATGACTGATATGTTGTAGTTCTCCTCGGATTTGTGCATTACTAAGTTGTTGACACAGTGTTGTAGGGGAAAGGCCCACGTTGGTCCTCTAGAAAGGAGTCATCTCTCCTCTTTGTCTCTTCCAACTGTGCCACCACGAGCACCACCAGTTCCCACCACCCCCATGTGGGGTGCAGCCAGGGATACTTTGCCTGGGGCCATGTTTAAGATCCAGGGGTGCTATTCTCCCCAACCTAGCCTCCAGGCTGGTAACCCCATGCCTTCCTCGTCATGGGAAGCCAAGCGGATGCTTCAGTGAGAGCTTTTACAGATGGGGAGACTGAGGCCTTTAGAGGCTCTGGCAAAGCAAGGACCAGAACCTGGGATTTCCTGACTCCTGATCCAGTGATCTTGAATCCCCAGCTACAAACCCTCTGGCCCTTCCACCCCAGGCTGGCCCAAGCTTCCAGACAGGCCAGGTTGGATTCATCACCACCATCACCTCTCCCCTCCCCGCCTCTTCAGTCTGGGGGTAGGGAGGAAGGACTCCCCTTCCCCAGCAGGTCTTCCCTGAGCATCTCTCTTCCTCCCTTGACAGTACCCACAGCCTGAGAGAATGCCTCACAATCTGAGAGTACATTTTCTTTAGGCATTTGCCACTTGTTGCCCAATCAAATTTAGAGGAACAGCTGACAAAAGAGGCAGAAATCCACAAGAGCATCCACAGGAGCAAACTACCAGCCCCATCCCTAGGTGTTAGGTACTGGGTTAGGTCTGACCTTCAGCGCCACCAGGGCAGAGAATCAGCTGCTCCTTTGTGTTTAAAACGCAGGTTTTACCATTATTATTCGGGTATGGTGAGGCCAACAGATCAGGAGATGATGGCCATTGGAAAAAGAGTTTGTCCCTCACAGTTCCCAAGAGGAGGGGGCGTGGCCACACCCTGCACGGCCACACCCTGCACGGCCACACAGGGGAAGGATCGGGCAAGGCAGGCTAAGCAGGTACAGGATTAGTTGCAGCAGGCTCTGAGGCATAGGAGCTGTCCCCAGTCAGTCTGCAGGTACCTGGCCCTGGGAGCTTAGGGCAGGGCGCAGTCATGGCCCAGGGTGTGAGAGCTCCATAGGGAAGGGCGTTGGGTGTGGGCTCTGGACTGGTTGGTTTGCATACAAGAGGCATTCTTCAGAGCCAGTTATTTACCACGTAGGGCTTGGCTAGCCACCGAAGGGCAGTGTTTCCAGGGTCAGCAATGGCCCCAAGATGCCAAAGCCTCAGGAAGTACAGAAACAAACAAGCGTGATTAATACACCATGTTTCCCAGCCTGGGGGAGGAAGCTCCCTCCCTGTAGACAGGTGCATTTTCTCCTGATGACAAAGGCACAGAGGAATCTAGGATGTGAACCGTTATGGGTGGGGCAGAGAACAGTATGGAGTGGGCTTCTCAGCAGGTGCACAGATGCTACAGAAAAATGGCTCCCAAGACCTTCTTTATTTTTCCCCCTTCTCCAACAGCTCAGGGCTGACCAGCGGTCCACACTGAGCCCCAAACCCTCCCACCCCCACCCAGGGGCTCACTCCCTGCTCAGAGCAGCTGAGAGCAGAGGGGTGCTGGGTCTAATGTGGGATCTGCTGGCCTGAATTTGGCTCTTCTTGGCAACTCATCCCATTTGGCACCTGTAAAATGGGTTCACAGAGTGCAGCCCTGCCCAGCTGACCAGCACATGCTCTCTTCTGGCTTCTAGGGAGCCCGGCTGACAATGCGTCCCTCAAGTCAGGCGACCGGATCCTCTTCCTCAATGGACTGGACATGAGGTCAGAGGCTACTGGGGACGTCAAAGCTTGGTGACAAACCATCCTCTGAGACTCCTGGCTCTTGGGACACCTAGGCCATGGTCCCGATCTCCTATGACCAGTTTGTCCCCAGGATCTGCCCCTCTTCCTATGGGATCTCTTGAATCTGTACCCTCAGACTAGACAGGATGTCAGTTTAGTCTTCCAACTAGAAAATACCCCAGCTCCATGCAAGGGACACAGAGAGTTTTTTGTTGTTGCTGTTTCATTTTTGTTTTTATTTTTTTATTTTATTTTTTTAAAGGACTCTTTTTTAAAAAAGATTTTATTTATTTATTTGACAGAGGGAGAGAGATAGCGAGAGCAGGAACACAAGCAGGGGGAGCAGGAGAGGGAGAAACAGGCTTCCTGCCGAGCGGAGAAACAGGCTTCCTGCCGAGCAGGGAACTCGATGCGGGGCTCAGTCCCAAGACCCTGGGATCAGGACCTGAGCCACCCAGGTGTCCCTGTTTTTGTTTTTAAAGATTTTATTTTTAAGTAATCTCTACACCCAACGTGGGGCTTGAACTTACAACCCCAAGATCAAGAGTCACATGCTCTACCGGCTGAGCCAACCAGGTTCCCAGGCAACACAGAATTAAATGGACCATGAGTGTCTTGCCCTTGAGGGGGAGCCCTGCCTACGGATGACATGGGCACAACCCCTCTGCACCCAGAAGTGTCCAGCTTGTCCTGGGCCTGGAGCTTCTCCTGCAGAGAAGATAAATGAGCAGGAGAGGCAGGGCCCTGGCTGCTGTGCACTGCTGAGCAGTCTCTACAGGCAGGACAGGGAGATCTGGTGGGTGGCCGTGGACATCGCTCATCCTGGTCAGGCCCTCCTGGGCCATCTCTTCTTGGCAGGAACTGCTCCCATGACAAGGTGGTGTCCATGCTTCAAGGCAGTGGCGCGATGCCCACACTGGTGGTGGAGGAGGGGCTCGTCCCATTCGCCAGCGGTGAGACGCCCACGGCCACTTGGCTTTGTGGCCCACGGAGACCCTGCCAGGGCCTCCACATGTGGGACTTACAAGTCTGCAGAGGACTCTGCTTTTCCCCCAACCCTGCAGCTTCCCTCCCCAGGTGGTGCTGTAGATTCCAGTGGGGCAGCCTCAGGGCCCTGCCTGGGGCTGTCCCATCCCCATCCCCAGCTCCAGGCAGTAGGTGTGCCTCCCAATGCCCAGCTCTCACCCCAGCTGCTAGAGAAACCGCATCTGACCCGGGATGCTGGGTCAGATGTGTCTCTCCTGCCTGTGGCCCCAACAGACTCTGATTCCTTGGATTCCCCCAACCCGTCCTCGGCGCTCACCTCCCTGCAGTGGGTGGCAGAGATCCTGCCCTCCAGCATCCGGGTGCAGGGGAGGACTTTCAGCCAGCAGCTGGAGCACCTACTCACGCCTCCCGAGCGCTATGGGGTCTGCCGGGCCCTTGAGAGCTTCTTCCAGCACAGGTGGCTGGGCCAGAGCGGTGGTGGGAGCTGCCCTGGGTGGGCCCCAAATCCTGCTCAGACTCACCATTCGGGTCTCCCTGCCTGTGCCTCCTGAGCCCCCTGCTCCTGGGAGAGACTCAAAGAAAGCAGCCGCTGGTACCAGGGGCCCCCGGGTGGTGGGCAATCAAGGTGCCCTACCACAAACCCTGACTCTGAAACCTCCTAGCCACGTGACCTAGCCTCTGTCAAGTGAAGCAGTGACCTCTGCAAAGTTGTTTGTGGGAAGGTCACAGGACTACTAGCCTGTGGGCATTTGCCACCAGCCACTGAGCCTGTTGGGGTTGGTTTGGTGTCTTCCTTTTTGTGCCTGAGTAGCAGCAGCCTGCGTCTGTAGGGTCATTGTCATGGTCTGTGCAAACCCCTCACCCGTTCACGCCCTTTTCCTTTTTTGTTTAAACAGCTTTATTGAGGTAAAATTCACACACCCTATATACAGTGCACTGGATTTTAATTGACAAATCTGTGCACCCATCACCACACTCAGTTTTTGAACATTTTCACTCAAAAAGAAACCCTGCAGCTCTTCACTATCACCCCCTCCTCTCCTGCCCCTTCCTCCCCTGCACAACCCCCCCCCCCCAACAACAACCACGAATCTACTTTAGTGTCTCTGTGGCTTTCCCTATTCTGGGCTTTCATGTGAATAGGATCCTATAGTATGTGGGCTTTGATGTCTGGCTTCTTTCACTCAACATCATGTTTTCAGTGTTCATCCAAGTGATAGCATCTACTTCTTCCCTTTTTCATGGCCAAATAACATTCCATTGCGTGGATAGACCACATGTTGTCTGTCCATTCATCCGTGATGGACACTTGGCTTGTCTCCACCTTTCCTTCCCTTTTAGCTCCACTCCCTCTTCTGTGTCCCTCCCCTTCCCAAGGTCACCAGTCCAATGAGTTTAACAGGGCTCCTTTTGTCTGACATGTTCTTGAAGTGTGGGCATTGTGTTTTGTAGGATGTGGGGGTTTTTTTGTTTTTTTTTTTAAGTTTCATTTATTTAAGTAATCTCCACACCCAATGTGGGGCTCGAACTCATGACCCTGAGATCAAGAGTCAAATGTTTTTCCAACGGGGCCAACCAGGTGCCTCCCATGGGATGTATTTTTGGTCTACATTAGAATTGTGGCTATCCTGTGCACATTCTGTGACTTTTTTTCCCACCAAACCCTATGTGTTTAGATCTGTCCATGTTGCTCGTGTACATGTAATACATTGTTTACAACTACAGCCAAATTCCTGTGGATCAAGGGTCCAGGTCTGATCTATTTACCTGCCAGTGACAGACACAGGCTTGTCACCACTCTCTTCCATCTTGACAGCAGTGATGAACATCATTGTGCACATTTCCCCATGGTGCTGTGTACAATTCATTTGGAATTCATATCTAAGAGCTGCATTGCTGGATATTAAGGTATTTGTTTATTTAATTTGACTAGGTCATCCAAAATTGCTTCCCAGAGCACTGCTGTCTCTCACCTGCAGTGCACCTGGGCCCCCCATCCCCACGTCCTCACCAACACTGGGCACCATCCAGCTTTCTACTCATGCTAGTCTTTTAGGCATAAAGTGACATCTTATTTTATTTGGGGTTTTGAAATGACTATTTTAAACATCTTTGAATATCCTTGTCAGTCTTTTCTGTTTCTTTATCTCTAGATTACCTGTTTAGACCCTTTGCCCATTTTCATTTTACTGGGCTTTTTGTTCTTGTTGATTTGCAGGAGTTCCTTGTATATTTTAGATACTGAGTCCTTGTTGATTTTAGACATTGCAAACATCTTCTCCCATTTGTTACTTGTTACTACTTCTGTTATATATAATATCATTGTGTCCAAGTTGGGCTTCTTTGAACAGATATGCTTGCTATTATAAAATCAAATTCAATACGTTTTGGGCCTTATGGCTTTGGCTTTTGAAATTTTAAGAACTCCTTCCCTACCCCTAGGCCAAAAAATATTCTCCTACACTGTCTTCTATTAATTTTACCATTGTATTTTTCATACTTTGTTTTTTGTCCACCTAGAGTTCATCCTTATGTGTGGTGTTAGTTTTATTTTCTCATATAATGCAAGGACCAGCAAACTACTTCTACAAAGGGCCACATAGTAAATATTTTAGGCTTTGTGGGCCATATGGTCTCCATAGAAACTATTCAACCCTGCCGTTGTAGCTCGAAAACAGCCATAGACAATATGTAAACACCCAGTCATGGCTGTGTTCCAATAAAACTTTTTTTTTTTACAAAAACAGAAGGTGGGACAGATTTTGGGCTGCGGGCCATCATTTGCCAATCTCTGCTATAGTGAGTTGATTTACCCAATACACTCTGTGTGTTTTCATCATATGGCGACTCTGTGAGGTAGATGCTATTTTTATCCACATTTTACAGAAGAGGAAACTGAGGCACAGGGGAATTAAGTAACTTGAGAAAGGTCACTTGGCTGGTAAGTGGCAGAGCCAGGATTTGAATCGGGGGGAGGGGAGCCCATCGCCAGAGCCTGCCTTCCTACCTTCCCCACTTTTCTGTCTTGGCAGGGGTGGGTTCTGTGGCCTGGAAGAGCCCCCTTGTCCATCTCTCCCTCCCCACCATGGTGAGCCCCTGAGTCATGAACCCCTTGCTCCTGCACCCTCCCCCAGGAACATTGACACCCTCATCGTGGACGTCTACCCAGTGCTGGACACACCTGCCAAACAAGTTCTTTGGCAGTTCATCTACCAGCTGCTGACTTACGAGGAGCAGGAGCTCTGCCAGGAGAAAATTGCATGTTTCCTGGGCTACACGGCCATGACAGGTAAGCAGCCTCTCCCCCTGCCCAGCACACCCGGTGAAGAGCCAGCCCCTGTCCTCAGATGACAGCCAACCTGGGCCTCTCCCACAGACAGATGCGCCCCCGTAGCCTGCAGACACATGCCGGGCGTACCCAGGCGGGTCGCACACTTGGCCCCACAGATGTGCCTTCCCTGCTCGATGCTTAAGTAGCATCTGCCACATTACCTTAGACTTTAGACACCCCACCTATCCACCCGGAATCCCTGGCTTTGCACCCACAAAACGGGAGTGGTCTCAATGGCTGTGCACTGCACGCCAAGAGACGTGTCGCAGATCAAGAAATTCACGTGGTTGCCGTCCATAGAGCTGGAGGGCGAGGACACAGCCAGGTCGGGCCTGGCTGCCGGGCCATGTGCGGCCTCAGCCTCCCACTGCTGCCCACCTCTTAGAGCAGGCCCCACGTGCCCAGAAAACCACGCACTTCACCATTTAGGCCACAGGAATCGGAAGTGGGCCAGACACTGCACTTGTTCTAGGCCCTCTGCACCTGCTGCGTCGCAGCCTACACATCTCCCGTGAGCTGGCCCTCGGCTGCCCACCATCCCTCGTCCTGGGGACCCACAGTGTGCTGGGGGAAGCTCAAAGGTTTTAGCAAGAGGCTCAGAGTATAGGCTGGCCAGCGGATGTTCCATACGTCTGCCTAGACCCAGAATCTTCCACCTCAGGCCACATGGCAAGCAGGGCCTGGGGTCACAGATTGGTGCAAACAGTGGTTGCCTTCACCCCTCCTGTGTTTGGAGGCCCTTTGTCTGGCTGAGAGGACAAGGGGCCCATCTCCTGCTCATGTCACACTGCAGAGCCGGAGCCCGAGCTGGACCTGGAGCCGGAGCCCGAGCCCGAGCCCGAACCAGTGCCCGAGCTGCAGCAGCGAAGCTCCCTGAGAGCCTCGTCCATGTGCCGCCGCAGCCTCCGGTCCCAGGGCCTGGAGGCCAGCCTCAGTTGCGGTGAGGCTCTGGCCTGAAAGGCGGGACAGTGTGTGAGGGTGCCACCAGGGCTCGGTCTTCCCGCCTGCAGAATGGGGTTGGTGGGATGAGATATGCCCAAGAACAGGTTGGGCAGGGCTGAGTGATGGCCCTCCTGGGGCTCTGGGGCTTGCTGGTTCTTTCTTGATGGCTGCCCGTGGGGCCTGGGCTGGAACCCAAGCCTTAGAGCTCCGAGGGGATACTAGATCTCCCCATGGTGGACTCCACCCTCCCCGATTCCCCTGGCAGGTCCCGGCGACTGCCCCGAGATGCCTCTTCCTCTCATCCCAGGCGAGCGCCAGGCAGGCGACGGCACGTCCCTCCCCGAGACCCCCAATCCTAAGATGGTGAGACCCCGTTGTCTACCCTCCTGGTGGTTCATGTGACTCCTGGGAATCGGTGTCCCATGGGGCTGGGGCAGATGCCTGCCTCCCAGATCACCCAGGCCTGGCCTCTGAGGCCATGTGAGGGCCTCATGGAGGAGGTAACGGTGGGCTGGACTCACCCTGGCCTCCTCTCCCTGAAGATGTCAGCCGTCTATGCGGAGCTCGAGTCCAGACTGAACAGCAGCTTCAAAGGGAAGGTGGGGACCACGTCCAGATCCCGTGCCTCCCCACCAGGGCCCAGCCCGGCAGGCCCAGCAGGTAGGGGCTCAGCCAGCCCTGGTTCCTGGGAGCAGCACTGGCCTCTGGCCTCTGGGCTATCTGCCTGGGTGTTGCCCCATCTGGGGCACATCCTTGGGGCCTCCCCTTTGCTCCGTGACCACATGATTGAGTTGTGGGGAGCCTCAGCAGCCTGCATGGCAAAGGTCCATAGAGGTCAGGGTTGTCACAGGCCTTCGCATGCCCCCCTCTGATCCTTACCCCTACTGCAGATTTAGAAAAGCAGAGGTCCTCCCCCAAAGGAGCCCCAGGTGAGCCTGTGGCTGTTGGATCAACAATTAAGTGCATGCATTGCTCTGTGAATGGCACAGCTAGGAAGATGGTTTCTCTGCAGTTCAGAAGGCAGGACCCCTGGGTTGGCCCCAGGTGGGACCCCGAAGTCCCTTCCAAGATGAGCGGGGGTCTGGCCTCTCCTGGGGCTAAGTAGTGTTCCCCCTCACCTACTCTGACCTTTGATTTCCCTCAGGGAAGGGCCTGGGTGGAAGGGTCATCTAGGGTCTTCTTGTGCTGTATCCAGAGAGGGAAAGGAAGGTGCGCAGGGACACAAAGCCAACCTGCCCCAGGCCCCCCCCCCCTCCAGCCTGCACCTGGAACCCAGATACTAACTGAAGAAGGGTCCTCACACTTGATCCCCCACCCCAGGGCCCAGGACCCTGTCCAGCGTCTCATGGCCCAGCGAGCAGCACCTACCCTCCCCCTGCTACTACCCACTGTGTTCAGGGGGCCTGGCCTCCCCCAGCAGCTCTGAGTCCCACCCCTACGCCAGCCTGGACAGCAGCAGGGCGCCCTCCCCACAGCCAGACCCCGGGCCCATCCGCTCCGACAGTCCCCCCAGCCCAGACCCTGCCCGCCCGCCGAGCCGCAGGAAGCTCTTCACTTTCTCCCGCCCCGTGCGAAGCCGGGATACTGACCGCTTCCTGGATGTGCTGAGTGAGCAGCTGGGCCCCCGGGTCACTGTCGTGGATGATTTCCTGAGCCCTGAGAATGATTATGAGGAGGTGAGCACATGCCAGCAGATGTGGAGGGCCAGGGGCCCAGGTGTGACATGGGGGGCCTGGAAGGGGAACAGGGCTCCTGCAAGAGGCCTGTTGCCCTTGGGATCTGCCCCAGGCTACTCCTCTCCCTGCCCCAGTCCATCCTAGAATCTGTCCCAGGCTACCCCACTCCCTGGCTGAGCTATCCCACCCTTTGACTCAGCTGTAACACCGCTCACTCAAGGCTCCCCCATATTCCTTGTCTGAGGTTACCCCCTTCCTTCTCCCAGACTACTTGTCAGGCCATCCTACCCACAGCCTCAGGCTATCCCACCAGACTAGCCTGTCCTTGTCCCCAGCTAGCCCACCCCCTGCCCCAGGCTATCCCACCCTCCCTCACCTTGCTCTGTGCCCGGCAGATGAGCTTCCACGATGACCAGGGAAGCTTTGTGACCAATGAACGGAGCAGCGCTAGTGAGTGCATCAGCAGCAGTGAGGAAGGCAGCTCCCTGACCTACTCCTCCATCTCTGACCACATCCCCCCACCCCCGCTCAGCCCCCCGCCTCCACCACCTCTGCCCTTCCATGACCCCAAGCCCAGCTCCCGCACCCCTGATGGTCCCCGGGGCCCTGCTCAGGTGCTGGCCAAGCCCCTCACCCAACTCAGCCACCCAGTCCCTCCACCGCCCCCGCCACCCCTGCCCCCACCAGTGCCCTGTGCACCCCCCATGCTGTCCCGGGGCCTGGGCCACCGCCGAAGTGAGACCAGCCACATGAGTGTCAAGCGCCTGCGGTGGGAGCAGGTGGAGAACTCGGAAGGCACCATCTGGGGTCAGGTAGGTGACCGGGGGCCTGGGAGTGCCCTGTACCAGGGGAGGCTGGCCTGGCCAGCAGCACTGAAGACAAGACGCTGTCCAGTTTCTAGCCCCTGGCATTTCCCTGCTTCCATTCCCCCAGCATCAGAAGCCCAGGGCAGCTCCGGTGAACTCACCCCCTGCAAAGGACCCCTCAAGACAGGGCCAGGCCTCTCAGCCACCTCCTTAAGCCCCCTTGGTTGGCTGCAGCCCCTTTGCAGTCCCTTGATCCCCCTGCTCCAGTGCAACTTGCTGCCTCCTGCATGGAGTGTTCCAGGTGTGTGTGCGTTATTGACCTCACGAGGAGGCGGCTCACCGCCTCATCACTTGGATGATTTAGCTTCTCCTGCAGTCTCTTCTGGTCCTCAGGTTTCTCCCAGGGCCTGATGAGGGCTCTCCCTCGGTAGCTCCCCAGGTGGCTTAGAGGATGGGGGGGCTGGGGGAAGGATGGCAGTCCAGCTGCCAGTGTTCCTCATCCCCCTGAACTCCCCCCCCCCGCCCCCCGCCCCCCGCCCATTGCAGCTCGGGGAAGATTCTGACTATGACAAGTTGAGCGACATGGTGAAATATCTCGATTTGGAGCTCCACTTTGGCACCCAGAAACCTGCTAGTGAGTGGCCTTAGGGCCCTGGGGAACCCTCATACCAGGCCCTCTATGGCAGCCCACCTGCTGCCTTCTGTGGCACCCCAGGGCTTAGAGTCCCGGAGGTCTGCACTGACTGCCATTTACTTCCTGTGCCCCTGAGTTATTTAACCTCTCAGAGCTTCAGATTTCCCATCTGAAAGTGGAGATAATCATAGTAGCTGGCATTTATTGCATGCTCACCAAATGCCAGACACCCCCGTTTCTAAATTAATCCTGTGACAATTCTGCGAGGTAGGGACTGTGATTGCCCTAACTTCCTGATGAAGAGGCACAGAGAGGCTAGATAATTTGCTCAAAGTCACACAGCCAGAAAAAGGGAGGAGGCATCCATATCTAGCCAACTAGATGTCCCTTCCAATCTCTCTGTCGTCCCCGCCCTTCTCTGGGTATCTCCCTAGAGTCGTTAGGTGGGGCCAGGCTGCCAGGGATACTGTGTGTGGAAGGTGGTTGCAGGATGGAAGAGAAAGGGCTTGTCCATCCAGGAAGGATCTGCAAGGTGGAGAGGTGGTTGGTTCACCTTCCTTGGGCAGCTCAACCCCAAGGGCCCAGGGGAGAGAGGATGGGGGAGAGGCACCCACCATGCATGCTGAGTATGTTACACAGGCCGGAGAGTCCCTGAGTGGGAGACTGAGGAAGGAGGGGACTGGGGACACCTGGAGCTGATTCAGTTAAGGCCATATCAGGGGTTGTCTGGGCTGTTAGGTGTGGCCACCCCCCTCTTGGGCCCTCCCACCAGCCTAGCCTCCTCTCATTAAACCATTTTCCCTTCCAGAGCCGGTGCCTGGGCCTGAGCCCTTCAGGAAGAAAGAGGTGGTGGAGATCCTGTCTCACAAGAAGGCCTACAACACCTGTGAGGGGTTGGGGAGTCCCAGGGGCTGTGGGGGACAAGGAGGCGGCCCTCTCTCTGGGCCGCAGAGCTTTGGATCCACTTGTGTGGATGACACATTAGGTCTTGGGGGCCCGACACCGGCTGGGTGAAGGCGGCTTCTCGGGTCCTACATCCCACCCAGGTGCAGCCTCCACCCTCTCGGGCCCGTCCCTCCTTGGCCCCGCCCCCACGTGGGAGGGGCTCCCGGGTCCAGGCCGCGCCTCCAGCCGTCGCTTACTCTCCCTCTCGCGGTCTCCTCCCCCGTTTCCAGCTCCACTCCCACAGGCCCCGCCCGTATCTAGGTGTGTCCCTTCGAGAACCTTGCCCTCACCTTTATTCGGCCGTGGGAAGGACCCTCTCCACCTCTGGGCCGGCTCCTGCCCCGCCCAGTTTCCTTGCCCCTCCCGGGCTCCACCCAGTCGCCCCGGGGAACTTCTGGGCCCCGCCCACCGTCCGCCTGGCCCCGCCCCGGCTCACCCTCGCGGCCCCGCCCGCAGCCATCCTGCTGGCTCACCTGAAGCTGAGCCCCGCGGAGCTGCGGCAGGTGCTCATGAGCATGGAGCCCCGGCGCCTGGAGCCCGCGCACCTGGCGCAGCTGCTGCTCTTCGCGCCCGACGCCGACGAGGAGCAGCGCTACCAGGCTTTCCGCGAGGCGCCCGGCCGCCTCAGCGAGCCGGACCAGTTCGTCCTGCAGGTGCTGCGGCCGTCACGGCCGCCGGGGGTCAGGGGGTGCTGCCCAGCGGCCTCGGCCGCCTCCGTCAGGGCTCTCGTTGTGACCGGGGCTTCGTGGGTCCCGCTCCCCTACCGCCGCTGCGTCGCGCCTCTGAGTCCCAGTGTTACACCTTTAACGGCCAGTTCCCACCTGGGGCCCGGGGTAGAGGGGATTGAGCTTATTTTTTGTGCTTATGTTGGGGTTGTGCTTATTTTTCTTGAGGGAATGTCCGGCAGCCAGCTGAGCCCCACCCCAGGCTGCGGGGGGGCGGTGGGTCCCCTGGTGGGGCGGGTGAATCCTGGCCTTGCCTTGGTGACAGATGCTATCGGTTCCCGAATACAAAACCCGCTTGCGCAGCCTCCACTTCCAAGCCACCCTACAAGAGAAGACAGAGGAGATCCGGGGCAGCCTGGAGTGCTTGCGCCAGGCATCCCTTGAGCTCAAGAACAGCCGGAAGCTCGCCAAGATCCTGGAGGTCAGGGTGCACCCCCTCTCTGGTCACCCCACCTGCCTGCCTGCCCCCCGGGGCTTCCAGTCTGGAGACCCATCCTGAGAGTGGTTCCAGGGGGTGGGGTGAGGACCTGGGCAGGAACTGTCCATCTTCCTTTCCACAGTTTGTGTTGGCCATGGGCAACTATCTCAACGATGGACAGCCCAAAACCAACAAGACCACAGGCTTCAAGATCAACTTCCTGACAGAGGTGAGAGGACCAGTTGGCAGTGATCGATGAGCTTGCTCTACCGTCAAGGCTGGGAAGGCCAGGCCCAACCCAAGTTGTGGCAGAGGAGAGGAGAGAATATCAGGACCACGGAGGGCCCCTCCCCCAGGAGGAAAAGCTGGCTGTCCGAAGGCCAGGATGTAACTGCTGTAAAGGTTGGAGTGGGGGCTTTTCCAAGCCAAGCCTCAGGATCTGGAAAAAGGGAGTGTGGGGGGGCAGGGAGAGAAGATTCCAGGAAGAAGGAGGGAATCCCACCTGGTAGGTTCTGTGCCCTTAATACCACCACCACTGCCAAGCTGTCCTACCCCCCAAAAAATCTAGGATCTGAAAAAGGACAGCGTGAATATCCAGCCTTCCCGCTCTTTCTGGGACCTTTCCCCAGGGTACCTTTCGTTGTTTTAAAAAGAGAGGAAGAAAGATTCCATTTGTAGATATGAATGTTTTAGGATGTCTGAGGCACAGATGGGCCACAGATGGTTCCCGAAAACCACAAGAGCAAAGATATGTGAGTGGTGCTCCCCCAGAGGTCAGAAAATCTTGGACTATATCTGCCGACAAGGGCATGCTCCCAAGGACAGGACACCTGGTGACCTCCTCTAGCTGGTGGCTATGGGCTGGTTCCTGGGTGGGAGCAGGGGACGGTGTCTCAAAGATCTGGGCCAGGGAACCTCCAAATGCCTTGGGGAGGCCTTTGGGCATCCCAGCAGAGCTTCACAGTGAGGAATATTAGCAACTTTGGAGTTGGTGAGTGTCAAGGGCCAGGAATTGCCGCCACAGTCCAGGAGAAGTGGGGCCAAGAGTACCCAGACCCATGTGATCAGGAATCTGATGGGGTCCTTGAAGAGGATGTATGTTGGGCATCACTTGCAGCTCAACTCCACCAAGACTGTGGATGGGAAGTCCACATTCCTGCACATCCTTGCCAAATCACTGAGCCAGCACTTTCCAGAACTCCTGGGCTTTGCTCAGGACCTGCCCACTGTGCCCCTGGCTGCCAAAGGTAGGCTGAGTGGATGGGCAGTGGGTGTGGAAGCAGAGGCGTTGCTGTCCTGGGCTGGGAGGTTAGTGCTCATGCGGCTCTGTTCCCTTCCCTACAGTCAACCAACGGGCCCTGACCAGTGACCTGGCTGACCTCCATGGCACCATCAGTGAGATACAGGCTGCTTGCCAGAGCATGTCCCCCTCCAGTGAGGACAAGTTTGCTGTGGTCATGACGGTATCCAGTGAGCAGCCTGTCCGAACACCAGGGTGGACCCTGGGGTAGCCAAGTAGAACCAGCTGTCACTCCAGCGGCCACCGCAGACTCCGTGTCCCGGCAGAGATTCTGGGCAGAGGCTGCTGTGGGTGGGCCCGGGGGTCCCGGCAGAGGGTCCATCCTGGTGATTTAGAAGCCAAGTACTTACACCAAGTCTGTGTAACTAAGAGGAGCTTTTTTGACTGTCCAAAAGCCGCTGCCTTGCCCCATCTGTCCTCGTGGGCAGGAGAGCCCAGGTTTAGGTCACAAGATAGAGGGAGTGACCTGCCAGGCCTTGGCCAGCCAAAGGCAGTCAGGAGAGGGGCACGTTGCCACTGAGCACAGTTAGGGACGAAGGCTACAGGGGAAAAAAAAAAAAGGAGAGATCAAAGTCAAGAGAGTGCCAGGGGGCCACTGTAAGTGGGTGTTGGAGGAGGGGGTCATGGCATCTGAGAAGAGCCCAGGGTGGGGAGAGGGCAGCCCTACAGAGAAGGCAAGTGGACGGCCTTGGGGCTGCGCTGGATGCGTCAGGCTCCAGGAGCAACTGAGAGGGCAATGTGCCAAGGCACTGGAGCCCCTGGACACAGCCCAGTTCCTGGCTGAGCACAGGGCACAGGGCAGGCGGGAGCCGGGCAGCTAGGGAACCCGAGGGCACCTGGTGGTTTCCTTAACGGAGGCTGATCAGTCCTTCCTAGAGACGGCCCAGCCGGTGCTGCGGGCCCTGGACGGGCTGCAGCGCGAGGCCATGGAGGAGCTGGGCAGGGCGCTGGCCTTTTTCGGCGAGGACTCCAAAGCCACCACCTCCGAGGCCTTCTTTGGCATCTTCGCAGAGTTCATGAGCAAGTTCGAGGTGAGCCATGATGGAAGGCGTAAGGGGTCTCTTAGAAGTCCCTCCAGAGGTCAAATGCGGGGGCCTCCATGAAGCCTAGATTGGGAAACGGGCTCCAGCAAGTGTGATGTGACCCCCACGGGGCCAAGAGGTCTCTACCCTGGCTCTCTGGGGAGTGGGGGGAGGAGATGAGGCAGGGCAGGGATCAGGGGCTCCTGGGACCACTGACCAGCCCCTCCCATGTGCCCCTTCCTCCCCAGCGAGCACTCAGTGACCTGGAGGCTGGGGATGGCCCACGCAGCTCAGGGATGGTTTCACCCCTGGCCTGGTGACCTGCGGAGCCCGTCCTGCCTGAGGCCTGTCCCGGTGGCCTGGAGCAGCCCAGAGCGGCCTGGGTGTGGGAGATGGGGCTCGGCCTCCCCGTGTCTCCAGCTACCTCAGCCATCAGGCTCTGGGCAACGGGAAAGTGCAGGGTCCGCCGGCTTCCCCTCTGTGGGCCTTGGCACCCACAGGGGGCATGGGGCAGAGAGAGGCGCCAACTCCCCGGGGAATGTGAACCTTGGCTGCCCACCGGCGTGCTTCCACTGGGAGGCCTGGCTTTGCCCCGCCTCACTCTGGGCCTTGGAGCAGGTGCTGGCTGTGCACACCCTCCGGACTCTGGTCTGGTCCCAGGGAGGGGTGGCGGGGCTGCGACCCGCCAGGGGACTGTGGGACGGCCCCCGCCCTGGGGCAGCGTCTGCTGTCTGCCCCACTGAGCTTGGCCAGAGCCCGCTCTGCCCCAACCAAGGACATCCGAATCTCCTTTTGGAGCCTGCTTCCAGTGGGCTGGAGGGACACCCTTGCAGAACACGCACTCTGGAGCCTAGAGAAGGTGACAGACGCCCTGGAACATGCCATGCCAGTGGGCACAATAGGCCTTGAGGTCTCCCACCCAGCCCTGGCCTCCTGGGGCTGCTTGGAAGAAAGCGGGAGAAAGGACAGCCTCAGGTGCAGGGACCTGGGGGCCTGTGCACCTAGCCTGGGTCTTGGAAGCTGGAAGAAACTGCAGTTGGCTGCAGCCCAGAAGCAGGGCTGGCAGGACAAGTGCCGGGCAGGGATACAGGGGAGGACTGGATTGGGAAGACACGCTATGTCAGACTGGAGAATTGAGGGTTTTTATCCAGCAGACAAATTTAAGTCCAGTTTGGGGAGCCTGAGAATGGGATGGCGTGGGCAAGATAGGGGCAGAGAGAACGGGAAGATGTTCAGGTGCTGGGTGAGTAGGACTTGGGCGCTGGTTGCCTGGCTGGGTTGTGGTGATGTTCCCTGGAATGGGTCACATGAGCAGAGCAGGTGTTGGACTGGATGACACAGTGGGACATGGCTGGGATCCCAGAGGCTGTTTCACACGTGTATCTGGAGGCCCTGGTGAGTTCGGGGGGTAAAGGAGACAGGGAGCAGGGGTGCTGTGGGCGGGGAGGATGGGTTAATTTCCTCCATCCTTCCCATGCTCCCTTTGGCAGTTTCGGGCATCAGGTAGATTCCTGTTGCCTCTTTCCTTAACCTTCTTCCAGAGAAGTCCGAAACGGGCTTTAAACTTGTCTCTTGGATTCTTTTTCTCTCCCTGCATTCAAATGTCTAATGCTGCTCTTGGACAGTATTTGGGACCCGTTCAGTTCTTTTTTCAGTCTCCCACAGACTGCTCTTTGAGACCATGTATGTTCTTTCCTTGTGAGTGGGGAACTCACAGCCACCCTGTAAACCTGGGGCACCAGGGAGGGGGCTTAGTGGGTGAAATATCTGACTCTTGATTTCAGCTCAGGTCATGATCTCAGGGCCGTGAGATCGAATCCCATGTCAGGCTCCATGCTGGGTGTGGAGCCTGCTTAAGATTCTCTCTCTCCCTCTCCCTCCGTCCCTCCCCACCCCCGCTAGGCAGCTTTACTAGTCATGCAGGTCTCTCTCCCATGTCTGGGGCCTTGGCTGGGACAGCTGGGATGACTTCATGTGGCCTCTCATCCCCAGCCAAATAGCCAGGATGGTTCCCATGGTGGAGGCAGGGGTCCAAGAGAACCAAAGTCACAGAAAACTCCTTGAGGTCTAAGGTCAGACCTCAGACCTGGCACACCACCATTCTACCACAGTCTCCTGTCAAGTGACAAGGCCAGCCCAGATTCTAGGGTCCACTCTTGATGAAAGACGATGCCAAGTCACATGGCAGGGGGTGTGGATTCAGGAGAATCGGGGCCATTTTTGCATCCGTCTACCACCTGCCTGCTTGGCCAGACATCCCGGTACAGATCCCAGCCTCTAAATCCTCAGTGGTCTCGGTCCTGCCAGCTCAGCTCTGGTTAGCCATCTCACAATTCCTCCTGGTGGCATGCTTCTTCCTCTCTCTTACCGAGTCACCCATTACCTGTCTCCTGACTCTACTCCATCCAGTGGACAGCAACGCTCTGCACCTGCCTAGGCTGATTAGTCTCCCTTCTACTGGGGAAAGCACCCTGGTTTTCTTTTCTTTTTTTTTTTTTTTTTAAAGATTTTATTTATTCATAAGAGACAGAGAGAGAGAGAGGCAGAGGGAGAAGCAGGCTCCCCGCTGAGCAGGGAGCCCGATGTGGGACTTGATCCCAGGACCCTGGGATCATGACCTGAGCCGAAGGCAGACGCTTAACCGTCTGAGCCACCCAGGCGCCCAGCACCCTGGATTTCATTTGGGAAATTATCCCTCCCCCACTCACAGGCCCTGAGCAGTGCTGATGGGACAAGGATGGTCTCGTGACTCTGGCTGGGTGGCTCAGAGTCCAGTTAAGACTCAAGTTAGCACTGTTTGGAAAGGGAGGCTCCCTCTCTTCTGGATAAATCGTTGGATGGATAGAGGGTGGAACCCTGGATGGGGCCGCGAGGACCACTATGTGGAGGACACTTGCCTGGGTATAAAGCCAATACAGGGAAGAAGAGGAGAGAAGACCACTCCATACATCTCTCTGTCCCTGAGTCCAACCATGCCTGAAGCAGACTTCCGGACTTGTCAGTCTCTGAGCCAATACATTTCGCCTCCATTTGTAAACTTTTAAAATTTATTTTAGTTTTTTGGGTTAGGCTAGTTTGAATGGGTTTCTGTCACTTGCAACACTAAGAGGGTTGGCTAAGAACACCCACAGATGGTTATGGATGTTCACTCTTTTCACATCCTCAATGAGCGCTCTTCATAATTGCATTGGCCAATACTTTTTGACTGCCTACTATGTGCCAGGCATCATACTGAGTACAAACACCTTGTGGGTCAGCCTCTCTGAGTTTGGTTTTCTAGGGTTCTACATCATGGTGATTCTATACCCGAGTCGGTACAAAGCCCTATATGTGAGCCCATATGTGCGCCATGGCCCCCCAGCAACTCCTCATCAAGTGACAAGCTGTGAATGCAAACATTTATGCCCCAGGCATAATTTACTTATTTCTCAATAATACTACCCAAATAACATAGCCTAATTACATGCCGCCTTTCCTAATCACACATGTTTACTAGGTAGTGTGCCCAACATTCTACATATTTTGGCTCATTTCACGTTCACAATAACCCTCTGAGATGGGTTTTTGTCCTCTCATTTTTTCAAATAAAAAGTGAACCTCAGGAAGGTTTGTGACTTTCTGCATCAAAAACTCAGCCCTACATGAAAGCCCATCCTCTGTGTGGAAATGTCTTCTTTGTGTTGCTCAACACAATTTTACAAAGATATATATATTTGTAATCTCGACCTGCTATCTCCCTGGCAGGAAGCCATGGGGCATGCTTGTTGTTCTTATCTTAACTGACCTTTATTGAAGCAACACCGGGCACTGTTTGCCCTCCCTTGGCAAATTCTCACACACCTAGGCTCGGGCTACCAGGTGTCGAGGTGCACCAACTACCCTGTCATCAGCTTGATTTCCCACTGGCCTGGCTGCTTCTAGCCTTTGCACACAGCGAGCGCTCAACCATTGCCCATTAAATCAAACCGCAATCACATCCAGATACAGGGCTCCCAAACTGCTCAGGAAAATGACCACCTTCCTCCTGTAAGATGGTTTGGCTGCATGTATCTGAAGCTCTAAGACAAGGGTTGCAAAGGAAAAGTCCACAGAGCAAACACAAGCAAACAAGGCAAACACAAGAAGTGGGCAGGTGCAAGAAAACGACACAAGACCAGGGACGGAGGGTAGTGACGTGGAGGGACAGGAGAGAGCATGGGGGCGCCGGGGAGCAAATGCCCTGTCTGCAGGGGCAATCAGCCCATGGACTTCCTTGTGGGGAGGCACACTATGATGCCGGATCTTCAGGCTTTCTCAAGGAAGCTAGGAATCCGGATTTTTTTATTTACAATGTCCTGGTGAAATGTTGGCAGCCAGTGCAAAACTGTAAGGAAGAGTATCAATTATGAGCCAAAGAAAACATGTGAGCCAGATAGAGCCCAGCTGTGAGTGCACAACCCCTGAAATAGAGCATCCGCACCAGTTGGCACATTCACACTGCCCTGGGGTATAGTGGGGGTACCCCATAACAAAGGACTTGATTCGTTTTTCAGTTTTAACAAGGGAACTGTGTTTGAGGCTAGTTGGTAGTTCCAGTTCCTGGATGATAAGATGCTGATTACCTTGTTTTGAAGATGCCCTTTGTTTGAGGAAATGCACCCGGTGGGTCCTTCATTCACAGGAAGGCGAGACCCGCACAGTGTTCTGGGGGGGGGAATCCCGTGAGCTACCACGAAACCAAATGCTGGTTCCACAGACCAAGATGTCAAGGATCTGTTCAGTTGTGCAAATTAGCTATCTCTTTACCTTGACAGTGTCTTTAAAGAAAGGGAAAGTGTTTTCTCTAAAGAGAGTTGGACTGGATTCTTAAAGTCACCAGCATTGAATAAACACAGTGATTGTGTGTTCTTAGACAATGTAGGGACAGTGTGGGGGTTTCCACAGAAGGAAATGGATGCCTGGCTTGTTGGGCATCCATGGGCAGGAAGGACTGTAGGATGCAGAAGGGGAGAGCCCACTGGGGTGGAGCTGGGGACCCCCCAGTAGCAAGAGGTGAGTTGGGTCCTGCCTCATGAGAGCTACAGGGACAGAAGCCCTGCCTCCCCCACTGGGTGCTGGGTGGACACCCCGGGGGCAGGCCTTAGTTGCATTGGCAGAACTTAAATGTGTTAGGAGGGAATTGGTTCAGGGATACAAACGGTGGGCAGAAATGGCGGAACCGGGCCAAGGTTCAGGCGGCCACCACAACATGTGGCACATGGCCCCGTCCCTAAAGAATCCCCCAGAAGCTCTTTGAGGAGGGAGAACCCAAGGGAAAGATCAGAACTCCCACCAGTTGTAGCCAGAGCAATCTTAGAAGCATTGTGCTTTGAGCAGTTAAAAACCCCCATGGCGTCATCGTATCCCCCAGTCTGGGTGAAATGGGTGGTGATATCCGTCCTAGGAAATTCACCGCACAGAAACAGTCAGGGATGCAAATAGACATCGAGGCACCCGGTTGTCCGTTTGTATGTGGAGTTGATCTGAAGCAACAAGGACGTCCAAAAACAAAGGACTTGTGAAAGTATACATAACAGTCATATGTTGGAATGGAACATAGCAATTAAAATGTGGAAGAGGTGTTAAGTCATGGGGGAATGCTTATGATATAATAAGTGAAAAAGAAAAATATAAAATTGGATGTAACAAGACGACCTTGGCTGAAATGAGTTTTTTGAAGCCAGGATAAGAGGAGGAGGAGGAGCTGCGCTGGCCGGGGTAACCCGTTGGGTCTGGCTTGTCCATGTCTGCTGCACAGCCAGGCACTCAGAACTGAGTACCGTGGACACTGGGGGGGGGGGGGGGGGGGGGCTAAGGCTAACTTCCATGTGATCGCCTTTCTGGGATATGGGTTTTCTTCTGATGGAAATATAAATCGTACCATCAGTCATCCTCAAAAAGGTGAATCTCGGGGCCTGAAATGAATCAGAGCAAGCTCTAGACTGGGCTGAAGATGACCATTCTTTCTGGCTTGACTTCTGAGGCCAGAAGATGACTGGAATGTTTTTACAGGAGCCAGAGAGCCTGCCCTTGACCCATGGAGTGTGGTGGGCGGCTCTCTTGGTTGTCTGTGCAGACCCCACCCAATGCCCCTCCTCCCAATAAACCCAATGGGCCCTTGGCGGCCATTTCCCACAGTATGTCTTTGCCCACTTGGCCAGTGTGTCGGACTTTGAGTGGACTCCTGGCCTAAGCTGAGCCATTCAGAACCCGTTCCAAGAAGATCTGAAATAAATATCTAGAGATTTCAGGCTCATTACGGCTGCTCTCTGGAACAGAAGAGATGTAAACTTGCCAACAGGGGCTAGAGGAGCCTAGACCAGTCTGCAGAGAAAGAAGAGCAAGGTGCATGCACTCAATCTGTTTTGCCATTTTTAAGTGTTCTTGGCCATTTCGTCTAATCCATGAGAAATTATCCTCAGATTGTCAGGGGTTTTTAAGCAGTCATTATTTTTTAAAAGATTTCATTTATTTATTTGAGAGAGAGAGAGAGAGAGCATGAGCCAGGGGAGGGCAGAGAAGCAGACTCCCCACTGAGCAGGGAGCCCGACACGGCACTCGATCCCAAGACTCCAGGATCATGACCTGAGCTGAAGGCAGACGCTTAACTGACTGAGCCACCCAGGTGCCCAGCAATCATTAATTTAATCCTCACTGGAGAAGGAATCTGCAGAAAGTTCTTGTCTCCAAATAATTTCATATTATTCAAAAGTATATGTATGTGTGTGTACGTGCGTTGAGGCACATGTGTATGTATATGTATATACACACATAGAAAATAATTCATCATTCTTCTGAAGACATGATGGACTCAGATACATAATATGCAGAAATAAATCTCAGGCATAACCTCATTCGCATTCAGAGATTTGCATTTTCACAGCAAACTTGCATGCAAAAAGAGAAATGAGAAGAGATAATGAAGTACAATTTTATATCATTACATTATGTAGCAAACTGAAATGTTTGCACAAGGTTTTGATGATGCTTATACTTAAGGCTGAAACTATCTCCTAAGCTCTACAGAAGAGTCGAAAGAAATTATAAATCTCTTAGGTGTTATTGTCAGTATGAGCCGAAGTGCTACAATTTTTTACCAAAAAAAAAAAGTTCACAAAGCTGACTTTATACCAAAAAAGGCACACACACTATATCCCAAATGGAAGGAGAGATGAACAGAGGACGGCTTTTTCAAAGTATTTGGATACTTTCAGTGCTTAACTTTGTATTGCCCTGACAGGAGGCTGTTTTATCTGGCTGAGGCTAGAAATGAAAAGTGGTTGTGTGCTTGCTCTGAATCTTTTTCACTTACAAAAAACAAACAAACCAAAAAGGAATAGGTGATAGGACCCCAGGCCCATTGCTGAAATATACAGGTGTATGCAGTATATAAATATTTATACAATTGGCAACATTGTACTATACAAATCAATTTGTTTTGCAACGTTTTCCAATGAGTGGGCCAAATCAGAAGCAACCAGGATGTCCAAAAATAGGGGATCAGTGAAAAAATTATGCTTGCCAATGAGTGACCCAAAATATTAAGACCCGTCTCGGATTTTTACTTACCAGTTGGTAGAAGTACTTGAAATACATAATACTTACAGAAAACACACTACTTAGTTACCAAAAATGATCTAAACTTCCCAGAAATAAATGAGAATATTTGTACCTGCATCAATGAGAGCCATTTCTCACATGCTCGAGAAAGTCACCCCAAAACCTTGGTTAACCTTTCTTTATACTAAGTACTGACTGATATCTCTGAAAGAGGCTGTGTAAATGGACACCAATTAATACAATGCTGATTTGGGAGATTAACTGCTGAGTCACAAGGGATCACTGGTATAGGAGATGTTTTTAATTTTGTCAGTTTTTTTCTCAGGTGTGGTGGAAAACTCTGTCCTGGGAAACAATCAGGCCCATTGATTGTCTCCTGGATAGAGCTTCTGTCCTAATGAAGGGCTGGCTGCTGAGCTCTTGTCTTATTCTGGGTCTCCCAGTTTCCACCACTGAAGAATTCTTATCTTCACATTCTTCTCAATTGTTATCCCTTCTTCCTTCTTGGGATCACTTTCACTCTTCTCAAGTACATGTCTTACTTTAGAACTTTAAAAAAATTTTTTTTTAATTTATTAATTTAAGTAATCTCCACATCCAATGTGGGGCTCGAGATCAAGGGTCGCATGGCCTTCCAACTGATCCAGCTGGGCGCCCGTACTTAGAACTTTTTGTAGTGAGAGCCTGTTGGTGGTAGTAAATTCTTTGTTTTTTGTATCTAAAAATGTCTTTTTAAAAAAGATTTATTTATTCATTTGAGAGAGAAAGAGCATGAGTGGGGGAAGGGGCAGAGGGAGAAAATCTCAAGCAGAAGCCCCGTCCAGCATGGAGCCCAACTAGGGGCTCAATCCTGTGACCCATGAGATCATGACCTGAGCCCAAATCAAGTGGGCCGCTCAACTGACTGTGCCACCCAGGTGCCCCTGAAAATGTCTTTTTATCACCCATATTCTTGAAAGATGGCTTTAGGGGTCCCTGGTTGGCTCAGTCGGTTAAGCATCTGCCTTCGGCTCAGGTCATGATCCTGGGGTCCTAGGATCAAGTCCCGTGTTGGGCTCCTTGCTCAGCGGGGAGTCTGCTTCTCCTCCCTCTGTCTGCCACTCACCCTGCTTGTGCTCTTTTGCACTCTCTCTCTCAAATAAATAAATAAAATCTTAAAAAAAAAAAAAAGATGGTTTTAGTGGGTACATGGTTCTAGGTTGACAGTTACATTTTCTCATCAGTTTGAAGATACCATTCTACCGCTTGCTGACTTCCATTATTGGTCTTGAGAAGTTAGCTGTCAGTCTAATGATGATTTTATTGTAAAAAGCAGGTGTATTCATTTCCCAGAGCTGATGTAAACAAATTAACACAAACAGGGTGATTTAAAATAACAGAAACGTGTTCTCTCACAGTTTGGAAGACCAGAAGTCTAAAATCAAGGTGTTGGCAGGGTCAGTTCCTTTTGGAAGCTCTGAGGAAGAATCTGTTTCATATGTCTCTCCCACCTTCTGGTGGTTATCATCACTCCTTGGCGCACATTGGTTTATAGACTCACCACTCCATCCTCCACCCATCATATAGTGTTTTCCATGTGTGTCTCTGTCTTCAGATGGTGCTGTGTGTGTGTGTATCTGCATCTCTGTTTTCTCTTATAAGGACAACAGTCATTGGATTAGGACCCATCCTAATCCCATATGATCTCATCTTAACTAATTACATTTGCAAATATCCTATTTCCAAATAAGGTCACATTCTCAGTTTCCAAGTGGATATGAATTTGTGAGGGATGAGGGAACACTATTCGACCTAGCACAGTGAGTTCTATGTATTTTCTCTGTGGTTAATTTCAAATTTTTCCCTTCCTCTTGACATTCTTCTGTGTCTAGAAGAGATTTTCTTTTCTTTTTTTAAAGATGTTTTATTTATTTGACAGAGAGAGAAAAAGAACACAAGAGGGGGAGCAGAGGGAGAGGGAGAAGCAGACTCCCCAGTGAGCAGGGAGCCCAGTGTGGGGCTCTGGGATCACGAACTGAGCCAAAGGCAGATGCTTAACCAACTGAGCCACCCAGACTCCCCAGTAATGAAAATTTTTTTTAAGACTTTATTTATTTGCCAGAGAGAGAGAGAGAGCACAAGCAGGGGGGGTGGCAGGCAGAAGGAGAAGCAGGGTCTCTGCTGAGCAAGGAGCCTGATGTGGGACTTGATCCTGGGACCCCAGGATTATGACCTGAGCCGAAGGTGGATGCTTAATGGACTGAGCCACCCAGGCACCCCGAGATTTTCTTTCCTTTATCTCACGGGATTCACTGGTATTCCTGAATCCAAGAATTCAGATATTTCATCTGTTTTGGGAAGTTCTCAGTAATTATCTTTCTGAATATTCTCTCATTCTTTCCATTTTTTCTTCCTTCTGAAATGGCAATCAGACATTTTGTTTCTTACTCTATTTGCTATCTCTTTCATAAAATTTTCCATCTATTTGTCCCATAAATTCTGTTTAATTTCTTCATATCTAACTTCTAGTTCATTAATTCTCTCTTTAGCTGTGTTTAATCTGTTTTATTCACCTACTGAATTTCTAATATCAATTATTATCGTTTTTATTTATAAAAGTTCTATTCGGGGGGTGCCAGGTTGGCTCAGTCTGTAGAGCATGTGACTCTTGATCTTGGGGTTGTGAGTTCAAGTCCCACATTGTGTATAGATGGCTTAAAAATAAAATCTTTTTTTTTTTAAAGATTTTATTTATTTATTTGAGACAGAGAGAATGAGAGAGAGAGAGCATGAGAGGGGGGAGGGTCAGAGGGAGAAGCAGACTCCCTGCCGAGCAGGGAGCCCGATGCAGGACTCGATCCCGGGACTCCAGGATCATGACCTGAGCCGAAGGCAGTCGCTTAACCAACTGAGCCACCCAGGTGCCCAATAAAATCTTTTTTTAAAAAAGTTCTATTTGGTTCTTTTTCAACTATGCCAGATCATTTTTTATAGTCTCTTGGTTCCCATTCATATTTTTTTCTCCTTTTATCTACATAAACATGTTAAACACATTTAATTTTTTATTATGTGTCTGCTAATTCTAATAACTAAAGTTTCTG